TTGTAGAAGCTGGTAGACGACGTGAAAAAGGATAGGCGAAAAATTATAATCTTAAGAGATTTAAATGCGAAGTCGGTGCTGTGGAGATCGGCAAGGACGGACAAACGAGGAAATATATTGGCGGAATGGAGAGCAAATTTAAATTTTGTCTGTCACAATACCAGAGAAACACCAAACTTCTAAAGATTTGAGGGTCATTCGTCCATTACCTGCTCGGCGGCAGAGATATCGCAAAACATAAAAAATTGGAAGGTTCTAAAGCAGGAAGCACTTAGTAAGCAGAGATATATCCGGTTTGAGATAATTAGAATAAACATTGAAGGGGCAATAGGAAGAAAGCCCACTAAAGCTTTACTTAGTCAGAAAAAGTTTAGGGAAGCGTTATTGGAAAAAGCAAATAACGTAAGTCACGACGATTTATCATATGATAGAAGTAACAGAATAGCATACAACAAAGCTACAATATCTGAAAGAAACAAGAAACGTAGAACTGAGCCGTACTGGTGGACGGAAGAAATCAGCAAGAAGCGGAGGGAGTGTATTCGAATGCGAAGAGAGGTAACAAGAACAAACAAGAAGAAACTTGAAAACAAAGATACCATAGCTGGGTATGCTGCACTAAAGAAGGAATTAAAGAAACTAACCCAAAAATCAAAGAAAGAAAAATGGCTAAAAACTTGTAACAAAGTTGAAAACGATGTCTAGGGGGAGGGTTTCAATATTGCCACCAGAAGCCTAGGCATTCCGCGGCAGCGATACAGTATGGACGAAGAGGGGGTGTCTGATATTAGAAAACTATTCCCTAACAGAAATGACTAGTGGACAGAAAAATTAAAGGTGGAAAAAACTGAAAAATTTTCACTAGATGAACTGCGAAAAGCGAGTGATAAAATAAAAACAGGGAAAGCACTGGGACCAGACCGGATGATACCGGAGTCAGTAAAGATTGCGGTAGACACAATACCTGAGTCAATTTTGGTAGTAATGAACGACTTGCTAGCAAGACAAATCTTTCCAAAGGACTGAAAAACAGCCCAGGCAATACTAATGTCGAAGAAGGGAAAGGCACCAAGCCATTGGATGTAAGAAATGGTTTCAACTCGGCGAAATTAAAACCAAAGAACCCACCGCAATATCTCATAAACTTTATTTTAAACTATTTTGATAATAGGAAAATTAAATGTAATTAAATGAAACAGGAAGCTTCCGCTAGGGTCCCACAAGGATCGGTGCTTGGCCCTATGTTGTAAAATATTTTTTATGATAGTGTCTTGAAAATCAAAATACCAGGAGTCAATCTAATAGGATTCGCGGAGGATTTGGTCATTGTAATTACTGACGAATTACAGTACCAGGTCCAGTACCTCGGCAATAAAGCACTCGAAAAAGTATCTAAGTGGCCAGAGGAGAGGAAGTTGGAGCTCGCTCTGGATAAAACGGAGGTGGTGGTGCTACACGCACCCAGAAAGAGGGATATACTTACTTAAAATTGCTCTGAATGGCCTGGTATTAAGCCCTCTAAGCAGATTAAGTATCTGGGTATGATATTGGAGCAAAACAGAACATTTCGACCACATATCTTATACATTTCCTCTAAAGCTGAAAAGACAACATCGGCACTGGGACGTCTTATGCCGAACTGCCGGGGGCCGAGTAGCCACACCGGAAAGATACTATTAAACGGAGTGGCAAATTCAATAATGTTATATGGTGCACCGGTGTGAGGTGGAGCACTCAAATACACTAAATATGTACGTAACGATGTTAGAAAGGGTGCAAAGGAAACCACTGATCAAAATCACCAGCGGATATCGCACTGTGTGGACGGAGGTTCTACAGGTACTGGCGGCCAAACCACCTATAGACCTCTTAAAGAAGAGAGAAGTAATTATACGCCCGAGCCAAAACGGAAATATTACGACGACCATCAGAGAGGAGGAGAGAGAGAAAATCATAAATAGGTCGCAGAGTAGATGGACTAGTGGGCTGAAAGGAACATGGACCAAGAAATTAATTCCGGAAGCCTCTCGTTGGTATAAAAGTAAACACCGTAGAATCAGTTTCTATTTAACATAGTTTTTTACAGGCCACGGGCCAATTCAATAAATTTACCAAAAGAATAGGCAAGAAAAATGACGACCTGTGTACACGCTGCGAGGAAACGGATTTTCCAGAACACATTATGACTAGCAAGAAATGGTGCGAAGAAAACCGTGGAAAAGACACTGGGAATTACCCTAACGATTGACAACCTCGTACAAATGTTGTTGGAGAATCAAGAGAAATGGAAACTCTCGAGTGATTTCCTTATCAATATCATGAGAAATAAAGAAAAAGAAAAGCTAGAGATACAAGGAGAGGGACAGGAAGAGCAGTAGATAAACGGCTGTAGCCGAACAGACGACATACCGCATTACAGTGATTCCTGTTCGAGTCATAAAACATCAAGAAAACATGAGAGTAGTCATTCGGTGGATGGACCCTATTACAGTATTTCCTCGATTTACGCTTGGGAAGTAAAAAAAAGGCCAATGAAGAGATCGAACCGGCGACCTCCACGACTTTCGCATGGTGTTCACTCGCTAGTACACCATTCAACTGTAACCTTTGGGTTCTTCTCAAGGCAGATTCATAAACCACAAGTAAACGTTATATTATAAAATTTCAAGGGTTTTTGCCCAATGGTTGGTGGAGATGATTAGAGAAATTTTTTCCAATGAGGAACGGTACAGACGACAGACAGACGAAAACTGGCGACCTATTTTTATTCTCTAGGGTTCATAAAACATCAAGAAATAAAATACTTCCTTACGCTTACGCTCGGGAAGTGAAAATGAACACTAATTAATGTTTGTTTAAAATCTTCATAAATAGTCGAGCTTTTGGTTTTATTTTTTATAGTTCCTCTGCAATCAAAATTTGGGGGAACTAAATTCCAAACTCTAGTGTTTTTTATACACTTATTTATTACATATTGGTTGTCTTAATTTTTTGGAGGAGGTGCATGATAGTTAATGTTCGTTGGTCTTTCCCAAAAATTTTAAATACATCCATTGTGTAGTTTCTTAACGTATCCTCAAATTTTATTTTATTTTTCCAAACACATCATTTTTATACCTGTAGTCTGAGATTATTAATAATAGCACTATGTTGCCAAATCTGATAACAAATTAGATAGCCCGTTTTATAATTAATCAACAAAACAAATAAATAATATCGTAAGACATCCAGTAGCGCATTTCAGTAAAATTATATTGCCAAATTACAGATTACATTTCACAGTGTATTTATTAATAAAACGTGTATTTAATTACTTTTCAAAATGACCTCAGCAACTTTCTGAAAGGAATAAATAACAAAATTTTAATAATCATTTGTTTGGAGAAAATGAGTAGACACATTTCGGTTGAAGCTGAACTATCAATTACGATAATCTTCAAAGATATCAAAATTTTCAATCAATCAATATGATCATATCGGAAGTCATCTGTCTAGTATGATCTGTCAAAGATACATTCCAATTATATTATCGATAAGTTTCACGGGTATTTCCAATATGAAATTTTCCAAATAGAAATTTTTCTTACGCAGAATCGCACTCTATTAAAAACCTTTAAAATTCCTGAACAAAAAGCTACCATATTGGTTTTCATTTTTGTAGAATAATAATGAACTCTAGTTAGCATTTTCTACGTTTTTGTGTTATTTTTAAATGTAACCGGTTCGGAAAAACCTAACTTTAGATAGTTTAAGTTTTCATAAGCTTAAAAATTTCTTAATCAACCATAACCTGTTCGAGAAAAACCTTTTTATAAGAACTGTCTGTGCAGCCACGTTCCCAGGAATAATGAACTTTGACTTTATTTCCCCCCGGGTAGATTCTTACCGCCCTCAATACCACACATGTAAAATGACAAGTACCCATAAAGGGTAAACAATACAACAAAAGCGCCAACTGTCTATTCAACATTTCCATTTGCAATTTTCCCCAGCCGTTCGCATTGCTTTTGAAAACTTTTTTAGGGCCAGTGGTAGTCATAACTTTTTATTATCCTACTTTCCAACCTGAAACGCCATTTGGTATTCAAACACGGCTACTCTTCTAAGCAGCATCTGAAACTTGCACGTTTTTTATTTTTCATTTAATACACTGACTCACTGGAAAATTCCAGAACGCCAAATAAAACAGAACTCCTAACGAATCTGCGACGACACCGAAAACGCGTTCCAATGCAATCTCCGTACTAATTTGTGGGTGCTTCAACATCCTGAAGACTCATTAGGTGCATTTCACCGTTACGTAAAAGCGGTACATGTCGCTGCATGAATCAAGATTTCCTGTGTGTGCACTAAATGCGCCAGCAGGAAATTTATAAGGCACGTTTAAAAGGTAATGTCTCCCGTTTCGAACGTTAAAAGAAGTTTTCTGTTTTTTAAGCGCTTTATTAATTTTGACTGTAAAGACACGATCGATCGGTTGAAATTTAATTACGGGAAGCGTAATTAAATAGGGCAGTTCATAAACTTTATTGATTCCCTCCCTTAATTTTATTTCGTTGGTGGAATAAAAATTTTAATAATAGATGCTTTGATGGTGTAATATGGTTAGTTCAATGCGAAAGATGAGTATAAAAGGTTTAGTAGCGAATTTTAGAGTCTTTAAATGAAACGGCAAAGGCGTATGTTACGATCGGATTACCTACTTGAAGTCCACGTATTTTCAGTAAAACGTGATTTTAAAAAAAATATTTTTCCAGAAAGGCAAATTTCTAATCGAATCATCCTTGCAAAGGATTTCAATTTTTGTTTGTTATATATTTTTATTGGTAGATGTATTTATTTTTCCAACAAAAAAAATATGTAAGAATTAAAGATTTAAAGAATGATAAATACAGATAAATCGGTTTATTTTTTAGCCATTATAACATGATAAGATCGTTTTTAATACCTTAATTTAAAAGTAATAAACCCGCTTTACAGCTCCATATAAAAACACAAACTCTGTTTTATAAGGATATCTATTTTTAATTCTCAATTGTTCTACAGTATTTTACCAAATAATACAATTATCTGGATGATGAAACATGCGTCACAATTTGCACAAAAACTATTCTGATAATATCAACAATAACGAAAATGAAGGTCAAGTGTCAGTCGCGTCGGAAAAATGTTTAAAAGATATTGTTGTACTTATCCAATTATAGCATTTACACATTGCGTTATATCCTTCAATATTGTATTTGCACTACTAACGTACTGAGATATCTTCAGATCAGCACATTCCTGAACAGAAATCTTCAGCTCCCCGAAAAGTTCTTCAGCTTTTAAAAGTTCCACTTTAATTTGCTGGGGAATTTTCTCTGTTTCGAATTCAATTTGCTGAATAATAGCATTAATACAATTATCACTGTCAGTATCGCACAACCCAAGTTGAAACTCCAGAGCATCAACAGTATTAATAGTAATATCAATCAAATACTTAACTTCTCCTAAAACTCTTGATCCTTCTGCAATATCACCAAAGACGCAGTCGTTTAAATCAGCAAGAATCACCACCGGTAGATTGTTAAGATAGTTTTCGCGCCCTTGAAGACAATAGGAAATGTCAGCTTCAGCAGTGTGTGCTAAATCTTTAAGAACGATCAAAGAGCTGTTAATTGTTTGTCCTTCGCTTTGAACTGTAAGAATTGCTGATGTTTCAGTATTGCTGCCAAAATTTTGTAGATCTAAATTAAAATCATCTAGATCGTTTTGGCCGGCGAAAATTGCACCTAGGACGATTTGTCTTAAAGCTTCAAGATCTTCCTTCGCATCGTCAATCAAATCAAAAGGCACAACACTTGCCTGAAACACTACTAGTTGAGCAAAAGCAAAAACAATTATCTTTAATACCTGAATCGCTACGATGCTAACAACCAAGATGAAAGTTTTAACAACCATTGTGATTGTTTCACTGAGGTAATTAAGAAAACTGAACCCTTTAATTTTTCCTAGCTATAAATTAATCGCTAAATCTGATAAAGGAAGAAAGAAGTCAAATAGTAATTAAACTTTATTGCCGTTTTATTACAGTTGAACTTTATCCTATTATTCTATTTACGCAATCGATAATTTGTTGAAGAATGGTAGTGGCGTCGGCTATGTACTGAGACACCGATGACTCTGAACATTGTACAACAGACAGCTTCAATGAGGTCAAAAACGTATCTACTGAAAGTACTTCGGTATTAATCGTCTGTGGAAGCCGAATCTTATCCAATTCAATTTCAGTAAGGATCGGTTGAAGACACAGAATACTTTCCTTGCACTGACGTACTTGAAATTCAAGATTATGAACCTTGTTAATAACCACATCGACGACATATTTAGCATCGGATACCAAACCAGCTTCTTGCTTGTTTTTGTCAAAAATACAAGTTTTCAATTGGTTGGTGTATTCCGCCGGGAGTCTTTCTAGAAGCTCTTGACGAATGTCCGTACAAGGAGAAATATCTGCATTTACAGAATTCGCCATGTCGGTAATCGTGGTTAACTGAGTATCAATACTTTGCTTTTCTTGATCGATTGAAATACCGGCTTCCAACATAACATTATTGCCATAGTTAAGAAAATCGTACTCTAAATTTGATAGATCATTATGGGCGACGAGAATTGCGCCTTGGACGATGCTTGAAAGTTGATTTAGTTCCTCTTCAATTTGATCTACAAGATCACGAGGAGTTTTGACCACGCTAGAGTGGACCTAAATCACAGAGGTGGATTACAGGTAACAACCGAAGACAAACTTACCTGTGAGGCCAAAACTACAAAAACCAACAAGAAACTTAGTTTGAACATTGCGGCAACTTGTTCAGTAAAGTTGTAACTGTGTCTTATACAATAGAGTTCTTAGACTGACGAAATTTGATACTATCAAGTGCTTTTACTTGACGTTACTTGACGCGATAACATAAAAAAATCGTCTTGATCAGGAATCATACATTAATCTAGCCAAAATTTTCTAGGCTTAATTTTATACTTTATCGTGAGTTCTGTTTGATCCCACATGATTTATCATGTTTATGTTTTAGCCAATATCTTAAGTGTTAATAATAATAATAAAACTACACGAATCAATCTATGTGTAATTTATAATTGCGCACTACTTCATTCTTCTACAAAAAAAAAAGAAAATAAATATTCAGTACATTAAAACAATAATTTATTTTAATCAATAAGCCTATCTGCACAGGACTGAATGTCTCCAAGAATCCCGAATGCCTCCGTAATATATTGGGCCACGCTTGAGTCCGAGCAAGTTTGTACCGAAAGCCTCAATGTTGTCAAAAGACCCTGGACAGCTTGAACCTCGGTGTCGACACTTTGTGGCAATCGGATTTTATCAAGCTCTATTTCAGTAAGCAAAGGAGCAATGCACAACAGATCGTCTCGGCACTGACGTAGTTGGAATTCCAAATTGTGGACTTTGTTAATTACGATATCCACAAGGTATCTTCCATTGCTGGAAGTTGAGGACGCTCGTGAATCCACCTCACTAATACAATTGTTCATTTCCCTAGTCAAACGATTAGGCAGTCTGTTCAAAGTTTGTTCACGTACGTTCGTACATGGTGAAATATCAACATTTGCGACATGTGCCAAGTCCTTGATTGCTTGCAACTGCTGGTCCACGGTTTGTGATTCTTGTGCTATTGAGATGGTTCCTGCGTTTGCAACATTCCCAGAGTTTGTTCTAAAGTCGGTGAGATCGTTGTTGAGGTCGTCGTGGGCGGCAAGAATTCTGCCTTGAACAATGCTCTTTAGAGCCTCTAGTTCTTCTCTAACTTGGTCGGCCAAATCGCGGGGCTGTATTTCAGCACTTGCAAACTAATAGATCAACGTGAGTAGTAGTTGTCAAATATATTAAAGAATACTTACAGCCAGGAAGGCACACAACAAGAAAGTAGATTTTAGAGCCATGGTCGTGCAACTAATTTACTAGTAAAAAAAAATTTGGGATCCTTTATATATGCTTGGCATGAATTGAAACTCAAGTGAAAGATCATATCTACGCAAATATTTTGATAAAAATAGGCTTAAGGCATTCATTCAAGTGCGTAAGCGGTGACAACATTTGAAGTGTAGGTTTATAGACAACAAGGTGATTTCTTATTACAGTTTGTATTATTTTAGATAACGCTAAAACCAAGCTTCTATTACGATTAGTTAAACACGTAGCATTAATTTAATTACAAACAATGTAAAATGTCAGTAGTCTGCACAATTATGCACTGGAAATTTCAAACCATATATGTGTAATATTCTGACAGTTCTGGAATTTTTCTCTCAAGATCTCTTGGCCTTGATAAAATTGATATTTAAAATGGTGTACTTTATTTACAAACATATCTGGAAGATAATGTGAATTGCTCACAGCTGTCTGCAGATTGGGTAATTTCGTTTACACATCAACCCATTAAGATGATCTGTATGGTCATTAGTATAAGAACGAATGTTTTGCTAGACCAAAGTGCCAATACTGGAATATATGTGTTTGCTCTTTCAGCTACTTTCCAATGATTATTTTTGTTGGTGCTATTGTCTATCTAGATAGTTAATTGTTAGTAAGCTTCGTCTATCACATTTGTTAAATAAAGTTAAAAAAATTGATAAGAACTAAAAACATTTGTTACTCAAACACAATTTTGAAACATTTGCATGTAAAAACTACCTACTTATAGATTTATTAGTTACATCTGTTTTGAAAAAAACTACATGTGTTTACTGAATAGATGGCAAAAAACATTTTTATTTTTATTAGAGTGAATGAATGTAATATGCAGCATTTTTCTGCTTTGATGTTTTGGTCGCTTGGATATAAAACTTGATTTTGAAAACAGCTGCGAATATGTCACCAATAACAACTTGCTTTCAAGATTTTCATTGTATCCTCAATCAATAAAGGTACACAATACTTGCCTGAAACATTACTCACTGAATAAACAAAAGACAGTAATGTCAAAAACCTGATGAATATCTATCTAAGAAGAATACTTAAGTAGCTAACAATTAATCAATACATGTGATAAAAAAAGTTGACAATATAATAACCTTGACTTTTATTACATGTGAACTTATCAGTAATAATTTGAAGTATGGATTTGTTTGAGTATTATTGTTACCAAAACAGTTTAAAGTGTTCAAAAACGTATCTATTTAAATACGTATAGTAATGGATTTCTTGTAGGCTATATGACCCCACTGAAACCCAGTCTGTTGGACAAAATGATTACAAAAAAGTGTACATCAAGTTAGCTTTGAAATTGCGTGAATTTTGCCGCCTCGTTGTGATAATTAGTTATAACTGCCCGTATGCGCCTGTCATAAATGTCAGTTAAACCTAACTTTCGTCGTCACCTGTCAGAAATCTCATTTATAATATAATTTTCTTGTTCTTGCTTGATAGGTCGACAACCAATAGTTCAGATTGAATGATAGATCACCTGTCTATCCCATGGAAGCGGCAAACTACTCTGTATAAAAGCCACTGACAATTATAAGCAATTAAGAGAAACCGCATTAATTAACATTGGACTTCTGTTGTCTGTGAAGAGATCAAAGACGACATAAATTTACAACTATACAGGAAATCGAGAAGCAGAAACAAAAATAGACAATTCTTTGTCTATTTGCCAGCAACACACAAAGAGGTTGAGTTCAGCTAATACAGAATGTTGAAATTCCCATGACAATAACATCACCGTTTTAACAGTAATAAACAAAACCGCAAAAATCACAACCAAATTCAGAGCGAACAAATCGAAGTTAACGAAGGCCAGCGAACTGATCGGTATTAAGATTTCAACAAATTGAAGACAACAAATATGAAGAAACAAATACGTCAGCAATATACAATGAGTAGACCTGACAAGGGTACCGATGAACGGAAGATTTGGTGACAACTGCGCCGCGCCGACGCCAGGAGAACATCATTTAGTTTTGCTGAAGAGTAGTGTGAAGAAGTGTTACCAACCTCCAACGGGTTTTTTCCTGAGTTCGTCTAGAGGAAAACCGATGGTTCGCCACCATTCAGCGAAAATCGCCCTCGCCGAGCCGTCGCGAGGGAGTGCCATGAGTAGAATTAGATAGTCTATAAATTGTAATTCTTAATTGTTTAGTTTTGTCTAAATAATGCTAACGTGCTCGGCGAAACGTAGTAAACTTTTTTGTGTGTTTTTGGGTGTTTGCAAGATAATAAACGTTGTGGTGTTATCGTATACCGAATGTTCAAAAAAGTTTCTGGTACACATGTAATTACCAAAATAAAGTGTGTCAAGCGAAAGCGTCTAGAATTAATAAATGTGACACACTATGTATGTTTATTGGTATCCAATGTGTTAAACGTTGTGTAATAAAATCGCACACGTCAATTTAAGTGTAATTTACTGTCTTCATCCTTACTTCATTTTTACACAAAAATTATCCATTTAGTATACAAAAGTAAAAATATTCAATATAAAAACAATAGTAATTAGTAGAGCTGTGCGGTTGAAATTTATTTATCCCCACTATCCGTCCCATCAGGCCAGCAGTGCAGGCCGCTGCAGTCTTGCCTTCCTCGCTTCTCGCTTCTCATTGTGTATTATTTTTCATAATTCACATCAATCGTTTTATTGTCAACGAGACCGACACTTGAACATTATTAAAATTATTATTCTTATTATTTCGTGGGTATGGATTTTAAAATCATCAACTGATTTTCAGTGAACATTATTTTTCGCGTAAATTTCTTCGCGATACGTAACATGGGCTGCGAGCCACTGGTCTGCCGTAGTAGGGGTCGATTCGAAACGTTTAAATTTCGACCGCACAGCTCTAGTAATTAGTATTAACGAACGAAAATATCTGCGCAGCTCTGTATGCTCCCAAGAATCCCCGATGCTTCTGTTACACTTTCGAGTCGGAACAACTTTGTACTGAAAGTCTCAAAGTTGTGAACATATTGTCGACAGCTAGAACCTCAGTATCAACATTTTCTGGTAACTGAAATTTGTCAAGTTCTATTTCCTTAAGCAGAGGAGCAATGCACAACAAATCTTTTCCACAATGAAATAGTTCAGACTCCATATTGTGGATTTTACTAATTATGATATCCACGTGTTTTCTTCCTTTCTTTGTAGTCAAAGACGCTCGCTTTTTGACTCCTTTAATACATGTCTTTAGCTCTTTAATCAAACGATCAGGCAATTCCTTCAAAATTTGTTCACGAACGTTCGTACAGGGTGAAATATCAACATTTGCAACATGTGCTAGGTCTCTAACTGCTTTTAATTGTGCGTCCACGGTCTGTTGCTCTCATCGTATAGCGGTGGTTCCTTCCTTTGCAATTTTTGCAGAATTTGTTTTAAAGGTGGTGAGTGTGTTGTTAAAATCGTTGTGAGCAGCAAGAACTCGTTGTTTAATATTGTTGTCCAGGGCTCCTAGTTCTTCTCGCGCCTTATCAGCTAAAGGCTGCTTGATTTCAGCATTTGTAAACTAATGAAACAATAGAGTATTAGGTAAATATATAATATGTTAAGTAATACTTACAACCAAAAGGGTATATAGGAAGAAAATAACTTTCAACTTCATCCTACTACAATTAATTTACCGGTTTTCAAAATGGGACTCCTTATATATATATATATATATATATATATATATGTTTGTCAAGAATTGGCATCTTATCTATATTAAAAGGTCACGTCATGAATATTTTGATAAAAATATGCTCATTGAAAGCCATTGAAGTACCTAAACAGTGGCAACAAATCAAGTGTTAGTTAATTAACTATACTTTAAATTGTTCATATTAACCTATGTATCCTTTTAGATAACTCTAAGGCTAAATTCGTATTATCATCAGTATCACTAATCACATACCGTTAATAATCATCATAAACAACGTAAACCATATTCCTTCATCGGTTTTTTATATCGCGTTTTAACCAATAACATTTTCAAGACATTCCATTATTACTGCGGAAATACCTTCAGGCTTTGACATTTCTGAATCTCTTCCTAACGAGTTGTGGAATTTTTATTCTGTTCTAGAATCTGAGTCCTAAGAAGAGACGAAGTACACTCAGACATCCTTGACACTGATCAAGTTGTTATTTAAAGTATTGTACTTTGTTTACAAAAATACCTCTAAGATAATATGAGTCGCTCACACTCAGTAATTTCGTCAACACAAGAAGCTATGTTCTTATTAAGCTTTAAAAGAAAGATGCAGAGTAGCAATAATTATGATCCAAAAATCTAAGAAAAGGAATTAGTAGTAATGAACTAATAATAAAAAAGATCTTTGTTTTTATCAAAAACACAAGTTTTAATTTTATCGGTGTATTCTGTCGACAATCTTTCTAGAAGTTCTTAACGATTATCTGTATAATGAGAAATATCTATATTCGCGATATGAACCAAGTGTTTAGTTGTGTTTAAATGCATGTAGGACTGCCAAATATTGTGATCAAAAAATGGATGTGTAGAAGATACTGGGATAGCATTAAAATTGTAGATCAAAAGATCTACAACTTCCAGCCTTCAATAAAGATATAATAATTAAAATTTATAGAAGCCTTTTTCATCATTTTTTCACAAAAATGTATACCTACTTAATACTTATATCAAAACAACAATGAATGTTAACCAACAAGCCTATCTGCGCAGTTCTGAGTGTCTCTAAGAATGCCGAACGCTTCCGTTACATACTAGGACACCTTCGAATCCGCGACAAGTTTGTACAGAACGCCTCAAAGTGGTCGAAAGACTCTGGACAGCTAAAATCTCCGTTTCAACACTTTGCAATGAATCTTCTCTACACCGACTTAGTTGGAAATCCAAACCGTGTACTTTTTTAATTAGAACATCCACACGATATCTTCCGTCACTGATAGTTGAAGACGCTCGTATATCGACATCATTAATATATATGTTCAATTCCCCAGTCAAACGATCAGCTAATCTGTTCAAAGTTTGTTCACGAACGTTCGTACAGGGTCTTTGAGTGCTTGCAGTGATGGTTTGTTGTTCCTCTTGTATAGCGATGGTTCCTTCGTTAGCAACATTTCCAGAATTTGTCCTAAAGTTGGTAAGTGCGTTGTTGAGATCGTCGTGAGCAACAAAAATTCTGCCCTCGACAAGGGCATCTAGAGCGTCTAGTAGCAAACTAATAAAACAGTGTGAGTGTCAGTTAAATAATGTAGTGAAGTATACTTACGGCCAAGAAGGTACACAACACAAAAGTAGCTTTTAGAGCCATGATCGTACTAATTTACTAATTTTCAAAATGGAATTCTTTATAGATGTTTGGCCTGAAGTGGAACTCAAACGACAGATGATATCTGCATTAAGTACTATCAGGTATTTCTTGTTGTACCATGTGATGGGTTTAGAAAGTCAACTTATATTACTTCTAACTAAACATTTGCTCATCAAGAACATAAAATATCGTTTCTTACCAACTTTTTGAATCGCATTTTAACAAATAATCCTGTTCATCAGGATTTAAATCTATACAATTCTGGACAAAAAATCTCAATTAACTTGTTTACCTTGATTAAATTGTAAGTTAAAGTGAAGTACTTTATTTAACATATCGTCATGACCATCAGTTTAAGAACAAATGACTTTTCCAGCCAACAGTGCCCAATTCTGGATAATGTTTAATTTAAAAGTCACGAATAGAGAAATCAAATGTTTCTATTTTGTATTTTAGCTGGTTTGGAATAATATGTAATAAATGTATAACAAATACTAAGAGTATCTTAAAACAATATTTTATTTTAACCAACAAGATGGTTTGCACAATTCTGAATGTCTCTAAGTATGTCAAATGCTCCTGAAATATACTGAGACACACACCAATCTGTATTACTTTGTACAGAAATTCTCAAATTCGTCAAAACACTTTCAACAGCTTGAACTTCGGTTTCAATACTTTGTGGTAATCGAACTTTGTCAAGTTCTATTTCCGTAAGCAAGGAATTAATACACAACAAATCTCCTCCACACTGGCTTAGTTGGAAATCCAGATTGTGAACTTTGTTAATTACGATATCCACAAGGTACGTTCCATCATCGATAGTAGAAGATGCTTTTGCAACTATATTATCGATGTATGTATTCAATTCCCCAATCAAAATATCCGGAAATCTATTCAAAGTTTGTTCCCGAATGTTCGTACATGCTGAAATATCAACGTCTGCTGCATGTGCAAAGTCCTTAATTTGCTGCAATTGTGTGTCTATGGTTTGTTGTAATTGTTGTATAGAGATAGTTCCTTGGCTAGCAACATTTATAGAATTTGTTTTAAACGTGGTGAGTGCGTTGTTGAGATCGTCGTGAGCAACAAGAATTCTACCTTGAACAATACTCGCCAGGGCTTCTAGTTCTTCCTTCACCACGTCGGCCACATCACGAGGTTGCCGAATTTCAGCACTGACAAACTAACAACACATTATGAAGATTTTATAAATAATATATTAAACAATACTTACGGTCAAGAAGACACACAACAAAAAAGTAGATTTTATGATCATGGTGGTACAATTAATTTAATAGTTTTTAAGATGGGATTCGTTTTATATGTTTGGCGTGAGTTGGAACTATCATATCTACGTTAATAACGCAGTCGTAAATATTTAGATAAAAATAAAAACTGCGCCATAACCAATGGTTCTTTCGGCATAGTCCATTAAATGCTACAAACATCATTGACCCAATCGTTTTATATTGTCGTTCTTTTCTTCGTCTATTTTCACATTTATTTTCTTCAGTTCTTCCTGGTATATTGTTATATTTCTTTGTAATATTATCCACAAATATCAGTTCATGGTGTTTTTCTGGTTCTATTGTCCAATATTCATACTTCTATATTTTCTTTTACGTCTCTTAATTGCATCGTCTAGAAATATACAAAACAGTTGTGGACTTAAAACGGATCCTTGTTTCAGATTCGTCTGCGTTGTAAATTCTATGGATTCCTTATTTTGCGTTCTTAATTTGTTTTTGTTATGTCTGTCGATTGTTTTAATGATTTCCATTGTTTTTCTTTTTACGTTGTCCTACACATCTTTTTTTCTTGTCAAAAACTTTCCTTGGATTAATAAAGCATACTAATATGCATTTCTTTGACTTTTTTTAGTAGTTTTCTCCTAATTATCTTAGTATAAGAATCAAATTTTGTGGACTTCTACCTTGTTTGAATTTATGTTGTGAGTCTTCCAGCTGTAGATTTAGTTTCCCTTTTAATGTTTTCTAATATTCCCGACAATACTTTTTCTCTCATACCGGTTAGGGTTATACCTCTATAATTTGTACAGCCCTTTGAATCTCCTCTTTTATACTAGAGTAATATAATCCACACGGTCCAATCTTTTGGAATATTCTTTGTCGTTATAGTATTGATTAATACTTCGTGGAGTTATTCTCTACCTACTGTTCCCATAAATTTTAGCATTTCTGGGGTAATTTCATCTTATCCAGACACAGTTCAGTTTGTTGATGGCTTTGTTTTTTCTTCATCTGTTATTGGTGGTATACTATTATTGGTTTTTTCAGTTATTTCTTCGTCTTTTCCCTTTTTTCTTCTTCTTCTTCTTTTCCTTCTTCTACATCTTGTGTGGGCTTTGATAGTTCTTCGAAGTATTGTTTCCATTTCTTCATTGCATCGTCCCATCCGTAACTCTTTTTTTATGTTTTTTCTTCTGTCGTACATTTAATAAATTGGATAACAATTCGAAGCAAAACAACGATATTTTTTTAATACAAAAATCAAATAATAATAACAAAAAAATTGAAAAAATACTCAATATAGGGAATTTAAAATATGAAAATCGGTTGACAATTAAATGATAAAACATAACAAATTTGACATACATAGTTACAGTCAGGGCATAAGTTGGGTATATTTTAAATTTAACGGCACATTGTTGTAGTCAATTTTAAGCAGAAATAGTATATTATTTTTGTAGAATTTAGCAACACCAATTGTAAAAACAGACATTAAAAAAGACGGTACATGAAATAACAACACACAAATCAGTGTAAGTGTAATTTATAATTGCACAAAACTTCATTTTTCCATTCAGTATATTAAAACAATGATTTGTTTTAAACAATTAAATTATTTGCGCAGTTCCGAATGGTCCTCACAATGTCGAATCCGTCTCTTATATACGTAGTTATTCGCGAGTCCGAATAAGACTGTACATTAAGCTTCAAAGTCAACAACGCATATTCAACAGCTTCAAACTCGGTGTCAACATTTTGTACCAGTTGTACTTTATGATTCTCGACTTCCGTAAGCAAAGGAGCAATGCATAACAAATCTCCCTGACACTGATGCAGCTGGAAGTCCAAACTCTGGACTTTGTTAATCAGGATATCCACGAGGTAAAATCCACTGATGGTAGCTGAAGACGCTTGTCCTTTGGCATCACTGACATATTTACCAAGTTCCTCAATCAAACGACCAGGCAATTTGTTCAAAGCTTGTTCACGAACGTTCGTACATGGTGAAATACTAATATCTGCTTCTAGTGCCAAATCTTTGATTTCTTGCAACTGTGCATCAATGGTTTCTTGCAATTCTAGTATGGCACGAGCGGCGTTGCTAGCAACATTTTCAGAATTTGTTAGGAAGGTGGTGAGTCCGATGTCGAGATCGCTATGAGCAGCGAGAATTCTGTCCTGTACGACGCCCTTAAGAGCTTCTATTGCTTCTTTCGCCTCGTTGGCCAAATCAGCACTTGCCAACTAATAAAACAATGTGATTGTGTCATTATATAATATATTAAAAAATACTTACGGCCAAGAAGGCACACAACAAGAAAGTAGTTTTCAAAGCCATGGTTGTACAATAACTTTACTAGTTTTCAAAATCCAGTGCCTTATATATGTTTGGCATGAATGGAAACTAAACTGAATGGGGATACATAAAGTTAAGGAGCCACATCGTAAATATTTTGATAAAGGTAGGTTTATTGTAAGTCATTGAGGTACTTAGGCGGTGGCAACGATTGAAGTGCAGGTTTATTAACTGTCGGGCAATTACATTTTATGCTATGTATAAAACTAGACGTACCATTAATTTAATTACCAACAACATAAGCTACCTTCTGTCATCAATTTTCTTAAATCGCGTTCTAGCCAATAATTCCGAAATTGTCATTCGCACATTTGTGGAATTTTTACACTCTTTCAATAAACTTTGTGTAAGAATGGGAGAAATGCATTCAGGTTTCTTCAATATTCGTCCAGTTGGCATTTAAAATCATATACTTTATTTATAAAAATATCTAGGAGACAATATAAAATGTTTACAGCTGTTTGTTCATTATAATTAGCAAGTGGACCGTTTAGATGATCTTCATGACCATAAATAAACAAAAAAGAAACCTATTTGGCCTTTGAAAGTGCCAAATCTTGGATCATGTTTAGTTAAATACAGATTAGATCATGTCAGGTCAGGTCAGGGCAGGTTAGGTCAGGTGACGTGACGTCAATTCGGATCAAGTCAGTACAAGTTAGGTCAGGTCAGTTTATCTCAGGTCAAAATGTAATAAAGTGTAATAAAGACTGGTCAGTTTTGTTTGGCATTTCTTCTTTAAATGTTTATAAATTAAAATCCATTTTGAATCATGTGCCCTATAGGTTAACTACTGACAACACATTTTGAAAATCGCATTACTTTACTCACTGTCAAACTAAAGAAAAAAACTTACATCATTCTTCTGAACGGTGAAAATTTTAGCCTGCGGCAGAGGATGAACGTATCCTTAGTAGTATTTTTCTTGTTCGGAAATTCTGTTGGCTCAGAATTATGAAACTCCATTTTGAAGCAATTGTGAAAATTTTCTTTAAAGCTTTAACGTATTTATTACATCATCGGGCAAGTTAAATTTCATAGTGCTTATCTGAAACGGTGCATATTAAGCAAGAGCTGAGTAAATAATATATAACATTTGAATAAACTGGCACTAGACAAAAATAAAATTAAAATATTTTGCGAAGACTATAATTGTTTCACTGAGGTTATTCACAAAACTGAAGGCTATAGATTTTACATGTGTGTCAGCTCTTGAGAAAGATAATTAGATACTAAATCTGATAAAAAAGAAAGAAGTCAAAAATATAATTAAAATTTATTGTGTTTTTTATTGCAGCTGAACTTTATCCCCGTATTTATGTAATCAGTGATATATTGAAGGCCGATGTTGACACCAGCTAAATGCCATATGATCGAAAATAAGTCCTCTAGTAAGCCATGAAATGTGTTTTTAAGATGATGTTGGCATTACAGCCATTTTGCATTTTATTTGACAATTATTTGACCGCAGCTGTCAAACTGAACAATGAAGAACAAGTTGGTATTGCCAACAACATTACTTTAAAAATGACTTTCGTTGTGTACTATAGATCTTTTTATTTCGATAATATTATTATTATTATGTAAATATGTCACAGGGTGAACCCCAATTACGGAGTAATTCAGAAACCGAAAATAATTTAGTTATTAATATTGCATTTGATTAAATTTTCTTATAATTGTGTGTAGCGAAAAAATTACTAAGTCGTTGAAGATTATTAGAGAGTCTACATATGTTGTTAGTTCTTGAAACTGAGAAATGGAAGATGTTATGGTGCCAAGATCCATACAAGCTGATATTAAGGTAAAGTCCAGGCGGTACAAACGAAAAATTAATTAAGTTATTTAAAATTTTATAAATACATATAATATGTACTCTCTTATGGCTGTTAAACAAACTTATTACAAAAACGAAATTTAATTCACTATCAAAAATAACATCCACTATATCAGGCCTTCGAAGAATGTCATTGTTTAAATGACAGTCTAAACAAATTAATTTTTTCATTAAGCTAAACATCATTACCATATATTTATCCTTGTTAAGAAATAGAAGATGCACTAATTTTCTTTTAACATTTTAAAATATTTATGTCATCTGCATCGTATATTGAGAAATTAATATTTAAAACGGTTTCAATATCATGTACAAAAAAATAGAACAAGAAAGGACCCAGAACAGAATCCTGTGGTACTCATATGGTATTAAATTTTGACGTATCTAACCATCATTACACAAATAGCTTAAGTTGGTCCAAAACGTTGGTTGGTTTAATTGTAGTAAGAAGCAAGTAAATACCAAAACAATTGTTTTCAACACTGACTGACTTGAAGTCCAAGGCTATGAAGCTTGTTATAATAACCACCCTCACAATATATTTTTGCATAAGATGGCAAACTTACTTCCCTTTTGTTTTTATCAAACATTTTTTTAAAATACTTTTTAGAACATCTGACGAAGATCTGTGACAGGATAAACATCTGCGTTTCCAGTGTTACTCAAGTCTTCAGTTATATTTAACTGAGGTTCTCTTTCTAATCCAACTTCTAGACATCCTTTTCACATAGCTTATCGCTACTAAATTGAAAGATAATGTTCTAAATTTGAGTTTCCGTTAGGTGCAGAAAATCTTTTAGTTGGTTTAATAATAACTTGTTATAAACTTCGTATTGGATTTTTGATCACCGTAGAATGGTTCTAAAGTAAAGAACTGTATTGGGGCTAACAACAGAAATTTTGCCTAAACTTGTTCTGAAAAATCTCTATTGCTAATTTTACTCAGTGGTATTCTTACACTGACAAAATTTGATTGCATCAAGTACTTAAGGCGATAACTTTAAAATTATCTTCAAAAGAAATGTAGAATTAATCTATATCGAAAATTTTCTTCGTTTAATTTTATATTTTACCATGTATCAAGTCTGATGTCATTTAATAAAACAGGCATTAACAAGAACAAATGACAGCACAGATTGACAAGTAAATATATAGGAAACCAACAAACACTCCCTATTTAAAGTTGGTGAAATTGTTTTCGAACGTTTAATGAAGGTGATTTGAATTTGGACAATCGACCCGGTGGATCTGTTCAGATTGATTTAGAGGTTATTTGTGACAGAATTAAGTCCTCCACTAAATGCTATTAATATTTTTATAATATAGTAAATTTTATTTTATTTTCATGCTATCGTTCTTACGAATTGATGAATCAACTCAATACTATTGTTTGTTTATATACTATCAAACATGTTATTAGATAGTTGTGATAGTAAAACTACACTAATCAATATAAGTACATGTAATTTATAATTCCGCATTGGTTGCTGTTTTCTCACACAAATTACTCTTTTTCACATAACATGGGAGACATTTGGTTGTTTTCGTTACACGCATGATGTACAGTAGAACCTCGACAATCCGAATTAATTGAGAAAAAGGTGTGTTCGGATGGATTAACGATTTGTTCGGATCAGCGATTTTCCCAAAAATCTGAAAAGGAATTGAATAACAACTTCCTACACAGTTGAAAACAAACTTCAAGAAATAAACCTTCATTTTATATACTTATTATTACTCCGTGACCATAAACACGCTATCTTTTTGGAATCAACACGCCGGGATCTATACCCTGAATTTTTTCAGAATTTTTAGATGAATTTTTCAAAAATGAAATTTTCCATTATGTATTACACCATTATGCAAATTTCGACCCATTGTCGACGATTTTCGAAATTTAACTAAATACATTTTCTTGTAGATTTTGGGCCCCAGAAGTCACTTCTGGATTCATTTCTTCAATAACTTAAACCATTTTTCCAGATTCGTCCAGTTGAAATATCGCAATTTTTAAAAATTCCGAAAAATTTGAATTTCATACCGAATTTTCCGAAAATATTGGTCGGTTACCATTAACATGCTATATTTTTGGAATCAGCACGTCGGGATATTCATATATTCCTGAATTTTTTCGGAATTTTTAGCAAACTTTTTCAAAATTGAAATTTCCCTCATGCAAATTTCGACCCATATTCGACGATTTTCGAAATTTAACTAAATACTTTTTCTTGTAGATTTCGGGCCTCATTTCTCCGATAACTTCAACCTTTTTTCCAGAATTAGTTAATTAATTCAATGCATTGAAATATCGCAATTTTTAAAAATTTCAAAATATTCCGTCAACATATGCAGAAAGATCTTGCGTCATTTTTGTAAGTAGGTGCGTGTTTCCAAGTTCAGTTCGGATTAAAGAAGCATCGACTTCAAATAGCCTCTGTGCGGATTACTGAATGTTCGGATAATTGTAAATTCGGATTATAGATGTTGTACTGTATTTACAAAATGAAATATGATTTCAAAATCTTGAAATTGGTAAAAATAAAGTACCTCGGTCGTGTGTCAGGGGAAGGGGGGCAATTGCGCCCATGACCCCCCCTAGATCCGCGCCTGCGCCTTGTAGTTCGCCTTAGGACTTTTGGATTTCGTCGAGGAAAATATGGGTGAGTCCATATTCCTCAATCTTTGTTTGCTAGTATTCGATTTCTCCGAATTGTGGACCTATTTTCCTCGATGTCTTAACAATTTTGAGGCGAATTAGAAGGGACCTAGACCTTGTACAACTGCATAGTACATAACTACAATTATTTATTTTAACCAGTAAGCCTATCCGCACAAGCTTGAATATCACCAAGAATCCCGAATGCTTCTATTACATACTGAGCTATACCCGACCCGAACAATCTTGCACAGAATTCCTCAAACTTGTCAAAAAACTATGGACAGCTAGAACTTCATCATCAACACTTTGTGGCAATCGAATTTTGTCAAGTTCTATTTCCGTAAGCAAAGGAGAAATGCACAACAAATCTTCTCTACATTGGCGTAGTTGGAAATCCAAACTGTGTATACTTTGTTAATTACGATATTCAAACGGTATCTTCCATAGCTTGTAATCGAGGCCGCTTGTATATAGATTTCATTGATACATATACAGGGTGCCGCATCCAAGTCTTGATATAGGGAATTAACATGTGAATTGGTTTTTATTTTATAATATCTCCCCAGATAACTTTAAAGCTATTATTGAGTGATGCATTTGTGGAGGTCGAAGAGGGCTATCGGCCAGTATTTTTTTCAAATCGTTGCATGGCGCTCATTCACTGTAAAAAGGTTTTAAAAATCGTATTTTGAAATTCGCGCCCGATCCGATTTGTCACGAAATGTTCCGCCGAAATCAACGAACAACTCAAACTGAATTATTTTATCCAGTGTGATGATTATTGTAGGTCAGTTTAAACGGAATAGTGCATTTATTCCGTTTAAACTGACCTACAATAATCATCACACTGGATAAAATAATTCAGTTTGAGTTTCAGTCAAACTGAATTATTTTATCCAGTGTGATGATTATTGTAGGTCAGTTTAAACGGAATAGTGCATTTATTCCGTTTAAACTGACCTACAATAATCATCACACTGGATAAAATAATTCAGTTTGAGTTGTTCGTTGATTTCTGTACAAAATATTTGATTAGGTTATGCTATGTTCTACTGCGATTAGATGAAAAAGCGAGGGCCTGCTTGTTCTTCAACGATTAATTTAATTAGTAGGTAATTTGGGAAAATTTCGCACTTTTTTTTCGAATCACTAAAAATTGGAACTCAATTGGGTTTACATTCGTTAAGCAGGGCTGGACTTTTTGCCACCTGGAAGCATGTTCGTTACAAGAAATTTTTGAGAGAGAAATGTAGAATATTGACTCATCAACATTTTAAAGTATTTTTCTCTATTACGAATGTGTTTTGGGATTCAGAAACTTTTGTGTTACTGTTTTATTTGTTTATTGTGTTAACAACAACAAAAATAAAAATAATCTTAAAGAGATGGGATAGAACAGTTTCAAAAAGCATCATGACAAAAAATTGAAGCCTGAGGACTACTTCTCACGTAGGGAGTTTTACGAAGGAATGCTTAAGAGAATCCAGGCTGATGGAGAGTTTTTGAGGAACATTTGTTTTACTGACGAATGTTCATTTGGTCTTAACGGAAGTTATAATCGTCAGAACGATCAAATTTGAGCATAACACAACCCTCACGTGGTCCATGACTATCGTTATTAATGGCGTGCAACTGTCAGTGTCTGACTGGGGCTTGTAGGACATCATGTCATTGCACCTCTTTTAATCGAATCTAGATTGAATGCTCAGAAGTAGGACAATATGCTAGCTCAGCAAATACTTCCTGGGACTCGAAGGGTGCGGCATCTGCAGCAAGTCTTTTACATCCAGGACCAAATCTCCAGCCATATAGCTCGCATAAATGTTGTTTATTTGAACCAGTATTTTCCCGCAATGTTGGAATGGAAAGTTTGCACCGCCCCATTGGTCTGTGCATTCGCGGGATCTAAATCCCTGGGAATTTTTTCTTTTGAGATGTCTTCACGATCATCTGTATTCAAACAATACCAGCTATACAACCAGAGACGCGCTGAAACAAACAGTCCAACAAATATTGTCTTCAGATTGCAACGCAAATGCTGATCAACACGCGTAGAAGTTTTGAAGATCGGCTTACTTACTGTACAGCTGCAGTCTTTTTGAGCAATTCTTGAAAATAGTGCAATACTTCTCCAGATTCGTACAATATTTCATTACTTCATTCATCAACAATTGTTAAGATTTATTATTTGCAGTTATCTAAATGGTTCATTAAAAGGTTCTCTTCGAAAGCGCCAGCTGTTTTGATGGTAAATCTTATCATCACACAATAAGAAAAGCGGGCCCTCGCTTTTTCATCTAATCGCAGTAGAACATGGCATTTTAATGAGATTTTAGTAATAAAGACTCGACCAGCACCAGCAACATAACCTAATAAAATATTCTGTGCAGCTTGTGCATTTATTCCGTTTAAACTGACCTACAATAATATAATCGACATATTGGATAAAATAATTCAATTTGAGTCGTTCAGTGATTACTGAGTGAGGCAGCGCGAGTACATTCCTAGCTTGAGGGCTCCCAGGACATGTTACAATCCTGCCGATGGGGTTTTGAGGAAGACCAGCTGCTCGAAGTCTTCATCTCGGGCTTTTTGGATACGGTCTGAGTGTAGTTCGAGATGGCTCGTTTGACGGGGTCGCGCACTATGACGAATGAATGGATCAATTTGTTCATTTATTCCGCTTAATTTGTCCTGCAATAATCATCACACTGGATAAAATAATTCAGTTTGAGTTGTTCGTTGATTTCTGAGAATAATTTCTAATTTCACTTTGACATTTGAATTTTGCATGGATATTCCAAAGACGCGATCGCCGAACTTCGACGGTGCGACGGAACATTTCGTGACAAATCGGATCGGGCACGAATTTCAAAATACGATTTTTAAAACCTTTTTACAGTGAATGAGCGCGATACAACGATTTGAAAAAAATACTGGCCGATAGCCCTCTTCGACCTCCATAAATGCATCACTCAATAATAGCTTTAAAGTGATCTGAGGAGATATCATAAAATAAAAACCAATTCCCATGTTAATTCCCTATATCCAGACTTGGATGCGGCACCCTGTATTCATTTCCTTAATCAAACGGTCAGGCAATCTATTTAAAGTTTGTTCACGAATGTTCGTTCGTACATGGTAAAATATCAACATTTGCCAAATGTGCCAAATCTTTGATTGTTTGGAATTGTGCATCTACAATTTGTGCTTCTTGTTGTATTGAAATGGTTCCATCGTTAGTTAGATTTGCAGAATTTGTTCTAAAGTCGGTCAGTGCGTTGTTAAGATCGTCGTGAACAGTACGATGCTCTCTAGAGCGTCTAGTTCCTCTCTCACCTGATCGGCTAAATCGCGAGGATGCCTAATTTCAGCACTTGCAAACTAATAAAAGAAAGTTAGTTCCATATATTTAACATACTTTAGAATACTTACAAGTATAGTTTATTTGAAATCAGAAGTACACAGCAATAAAAAAGCGCAGATACCAGTATTTGAAACACTATTCAGTGCGCATGAGCACTACTTTCACAGAATCACCGGCGTCCAGAACGAACTTGCTTTACTTTTTGGACCTGTTTTGTACGTTCTGGTGCTAACGCGTGCAACGTGCAAACCGCAGCAACAACACTAATGGTCCGCCACTGACTCGTCCATACTCTTGGCCCATCTTCGCGCTTTGCACATTCATCCCTCCCACTCGGTGTACTTCTGATTTCAAATAAGCTCTAAGACGACACACAACAAGAAAGTAACTTTTAGCGCCATTGTAAGAATTAACTTACTACTTTTCGAAATGGGATTCCTTATATACCTATGTTTGGAATTCAAGTGAAAAATCATATCTACGCTAAGAGGACTCGTCGCAACTATTTTGATAAAAGGTGCTTAGATGGTGCCAACAATTGGAGTGAACATGTCTTAACTGTCACTTTATACTATATATAGCTTTCGATAACTTTAAGGTCAAGTCCTTATTGTCACTAGTTATACACATCCTATTAATTCACTTCAAATTTTCAATTTGCGTTTCGGCAAATCTTGTCGTCGGTACTTCAAATTTGGTACTTAAAATGATATATTTTGTTTACAAATATATAAATCGAAAAGATAATGTAAACCACTCATAGCAGATTGAATACTTTTGGTAACACATCGATCTCATTGTTCATTATTATAATTAGTGGCTAAATCATAATAAGAAACGTCTTTATGAACCCAAAAACTGTTTAACTGAATATTATGTGTTTCGGGCGTTAGTTGTAAATCTGCTTTTGCTTTTTCAGCCACTTTCTAGGCATTAGTACCAAATTTTCTCTGTAGTTGTTCGACTCTATCTTGACCTATAAAATAATTTTTTGCAAGTGATGTTCTGTAAGTAAATGTATTAGTTGCAACAGAGATAAAGAAACAAACAACTAACACCATTTTTTTTACATTCGGAATTTGGAGCTGCAGCAAGAGGTCTTGTTTTGATATTCTGTTGACTCAGACAAAAACTCTACTTTAAATGCAGCTTTGAAAATACAGCGGAAATAAAACTACATACATCAATAAACATGTCGTATAATTGCAAATTACTTGACTTTGCAACAAAAAAATAAATATTTAATAAAATAAAACAAAAATGTATTTATTTATAATTAATTTCCAATAAGCCTATCAGCGCAGGCCTGAATGTCTCCAAGAATCCCAAAAGCTTCTGTTACATATTGAGCCACGTGCGAACTTGAACAAGATTCAACAGAAAGCCTCAAAGTTGTCAATAGACTACTGGTAGCTAGAACTTCAGTGTCAACATTTTGTGGCAATCGAACTTTGTCAAGTTCTATTTCCGTAAGCAACGGAGCAATGCACAACAGATCGTCTCTGCACCGATTTAGCTGGAATTCCAAATTGCGAACTTTGTTATAAACGATGTCCACAAGGTATCTTCCATCGCCAACAAGCGAAGCCGCTTGTATATCGATTCCAGTAACACATACGTTCAACTTCCTAACCAAACGATCAGGCAGTCTGTTCAAAGTGTGTTCACGAATGTTCGTACATGCTGAAATATCAACATTTGCTACATGTGCCAAATCCTTGATTGCTTGCAACTGCTGGTCTACAGTTTGTGATTCTTGTTGTATTGAAATGGTTCCTTCGGTAGCAACATTTGCAGAATTTGTTCTAAAGTCGGTGAGTATGTTGTTGAGATCGTCGTGAGCAGCAAAGATTCTTCCCTGAACGATGCTCTCTAGAGCCTCAAGTTCCTCTCTCGCCTGGTCAGCTAGATCGCGAGGCTGCCTGATTGCAGCACTTCCGAACTAAGAAACAGAATAAATAGTATTGATATAATATAGTAAAAAAATACTTACAGCCAAGAAAGCACATAACAAGAAGGTAGCTTTTAGAGCCATGGTCGTACAAAATTTACTAGTTTTCCGAATGGGTTGCCTTATATATATTTGGAACTCAAGTGAAAAATCGTATCTACGCTAAGAGGCTATGTCGCCACTATTTTGATAAAAATACGCTTGTTGAAGGTTACTGAAGTACTTAGGTGGTGGGAACAATTGAAGTGTCCATTTATTAACTGTCATGTCACACAATATATAGTTTTAGATAATTTTAAAGCTAAGTCCATATTGACACTAACTATACACATCCCATCAATTTATTTATGTTTTTCTCTTATCAAATTTTTAATCTGCGTTTTGGCAATAGTATCTTCGACACAGTCCACTAATTCAAACTGGTGTTCAGCGTGATATATTTTGTTTACAAATATATCCAGCAGATAATATGAATTGATTGGTTTTGAACCACTTCCTAGATATTTCCAAAACTTTTTTTACCGATGTTCTGATTTATCTCGACCGACAAAAATTTCTCTAATAACAGTGACTAGAAGTCCGCTCATTGAACATTTTTTTTATTGTTTGCGTCTAAAAATATTTACCTTCATGTTTTCCACCACTTCCACGTAATGTGACTCGATCTTGAAATGTGTGGCAATTAGTAACTTTTATGAAATAGAAATATATCTGTGTCCTTGTTATGCTCCGTCTTTTCGACAGCAGGTATTTTTTGCTTCCAGTATGGCGATCCTGTTACTGTCATTTGGCCGTCAATTGCCTTGGTGGTAACACGTCTTCCACGACTGTTTGCTGGTTACCGGTGACACTTTCTCGTTGAATAGGGCTGGAGTTACTTTGTGACTGGAATAATGTTCTTTCCGGTCCGTTAACTCAATAATTCTAGTACAGTCTGTCGTAACCTCAAATCGTAAACACATCAAACTTTCGTTGACAGATAGCGAAAATTACTAGCCTCGCGCTATCTTTGTTTAACACATAGGTTAGGTTCCTCTCTGTCGAATTCCGACCACAGGCAGTTTGCCGTACTTTCTAAAAGTAATAGTAGATCTAGTGACTTTACTTCCACGGGCTCTCAGATTTGTTTGCCTTCACAACCCAATGTCCGAATTTTTGCAAATAATGCGTGCCCATTTTGGACAAAGTAACTTAGTTCTAAGATTATTAGTAAAGCATGTATTTCGGAACAATTGCATTAGTTTTGTCGAAACTATGGCTAACAAATTTTCAAAAACTTACTTCCTAAGAATCGAAATTAGAGGGTAACTAATAAGATATGATTAATTTAGGCAACCAGTTATACAGGTGCGTGTGTATTTGTCGTGAGTTGTTGGGCATTTACTGAAATCCACACAAAGTGAGAGTCGGCACGCTTCCATGACCTACTTCGAGCCTATAATCATTTATAGAAACCCTGTATAACTAACTTTTTTTAATGCATTTGCATTAATATGCCAAAGACAACCTTATTCAAATGTTTGGTACAGGCAAGTCTTCAACAGTATTTCGATTCATTTTGACATATTCTTTTCCTTATTTAATTTCGACGCTTTCTTCCAAAACAGCATAGTTTTCATATGTTAGATCATGTTTTAAATCTGAGAAATCATTATATGCAGCAAGATAATATTTGATCTGTAAAATCACAGCTTTGACTTTACACAATGGCATTATTATTATTATTATTATAAATACTTATGGTCACCTGTATACAAAAGTTTCTTGGGTAATTTTTTTATTTATTCTGTTCGAATCTCCTGTTTCCTAACACGCCGTGAACATAGTTAGAATAAAAACTCTCAAATCAACATAAATGTAGGTTATAATTGCCCGTAACTTTATTTTTAGGGCAAAAAATAAATACCTATACAGTGTGTTAACAATACAATAATTTATTTTAACCAATAAGCCTATCTGCACAGGCCTGAATATCCCCCAGAATTCCAAATGCTTCTGTTATATATTGAGCCACTTTCGAGTCCGAGCAAGTTTGTACAGAAAGCCTCAACGTTGTCAAAAGACCTTCGACAGCTTGAACTTCCGTTTTAACACAATTTGTCAATCGAACCTTATCAAGCTCTATTTCCGTAAGCAAAGGAGCAATGCACAACAAATCGTCTCCGCATTGACGAAGTTGGAATTCCAAATTGTGTACTTTGTTGATAATGACATCCACAAGGTATCTTCCATCGCTGGCAGTTGAAGACGCTCGTGTATTGACATCAGTGATACATGAATTCATTTCCCGAGTCAAACGTTCAGGTAGTCTGTTCAAAGATTGTTCACGAATGTTCGTACACGGTGAAATATCTACATTTACTACATGTGCCAAATCCTTGATTGATTGCAATGTAGTATCAATAGTTTGTTTTTCTTGTTGTATTGAGATGGTTGCTTCATTAGCAACATTTCCAGAATTTGTTAGAAAGTTGCTGAGTGCGTCGCTAAGATCGTTGTGAGCAGCAAGGATTTCACCATGAACGAGGGCCTCTAGAGCTTCTAGTTCTTCTCTTACTTGGTCGGCCAAATCGCGAGGCGTCCAGATTTTAGCACTTGCAAACTAATAAAACATATAAGTAATAGTTATAGAATAGCATATATTAAAGAATACTTACAGCTAGGAAGACGAACAACAAAAAAGTAGCTTTTGAGGCCATGGTCGCACAATTCAATTGCTAGTTTTAAGATTTGGATTACTTATATATGTTTGGAATTAACTGGAACTAAGTGCAAGGCCATATCTATGTTAAGTAGCTCATCGTAAATCTTTTGATAATAATAAGCTTACTGGAAGTTATTGAAGTAATTCAGTATAGGTTTATTAATTATCAGGTAATTTCCTGTTACATTATGTATGGTTTTAGATAACGCCAAAGGTTAAGCTATACAATTGCAAATTTAGTTATCTAAGTAACTACAACACAAATTATTTTTTGTCAGCAATTTTAACCAATAATTTCGTCGACACAATCCGTTATCTCTGCAAGAATACCACTGGCCTCAACCGTATACTCAGCAACACTTTCATCTGCACAATTCTGTACAGACAACTCCAATTCACTTATAATAGTCTCGCAATTCTGCACCTCTTCTCTCACGACTTGTGGAATTCTTACTCTTTCTAGTAAAATCTGTGTCAGAAGAGGCGAAATGCACTCAAAATTTTCGTAACATAGATCAAGTTGGTATCCAAATTGATGTACTTTATTTATAAGAATATCAATAAAATAACGCGAATCAGTTACAGCTGTAGCTGCAAGTTGAGCAACTCCGGCCATACATGAACTTATTTGTTCATTATAGTTAGCAGGTAGACTGTTAAGAAGATCCTCACGATTGTTAGTACAGGAAGAAATGTCTTTCCCGGCCGAAAGTGCCAAATCTTTGATCGTGGTTAACTGGATATTAATGGTTTCGTGCTCTTGCTCTATGTCTAGGTTTGCTTTTTGAGCTACTTTTTGAGCATCGTCACCAAATTCTCGTTGGAGGTGTTGTAGTCTGTCTCGCCCTACAAAGATTTCACCATAAGCGATGTTCTGTAGTTCAAATAGTTGTTGGTAAGCTTCCTCTACTAGATCACGTGGTTCAGGATCGCTGGCGTTTATAACCTAGTTGTGTAATAACACCAATTATATCTAAGTTCTAACAATATTAATCTACTTACAAGAAAGAGTATACAAAATATAATCAAAGATTGCTTGGCCATTTTGGCAATGTCTATGTTACACCAGGATGATTCTTTTTATAGCAACGTCTGGCCTGGTTAATTATTATTAGTTGTTTGGAACTGATAAAAACTGAACAGTAGTAGGATTACGTCTAAACATATAATAAAATATTGGGGGACTTATACAATATGCAGAGAGATTTATTTTAAACAGGAGTTGTCATTTAGATAAAATGTAGAATATAGCTGTATAGCTGACAACTTTATTTAGCTTACGTCTTAGTAGTTCATAGTTTCTATTTCCATTTAAAGTTCGGTTCAAACTGTTTCAATAAAATTTCAAAAAATTATATACATATTACGCATGGTTTGCGTTGTTGATGCAGTACAACATATGAAACGGAAAAAACCGAGTATCCAAGGTGGCGTTATTGTCACACAAGTCATGCAACGGATTTTAGAATTTTCCATTTTATGTTTCCTAATGTTTGTTCAGAATTAACAGGCTTAATATAAGATAAATTGTCCCATAAATACTTTTGCAATTTCATCAAAATTTATAAACTATTATAAAAATAATCCTACAATACTTACCAACAACGTTTCGAACATGTGAAAGTATTTCTTATTGGGAAAACTCCTCAACCTCGTAAAAATTAAACTAGACTAATTGGTAATAATTAAAACTCGTTGGCATCACAGCACAGCGGTTTCAACTCGTCTCACATTACAGGAGTACCTTGACTTTGTAGTTTCCATCAATTCACACTATTATCAAAAATTTTAATCCTTAGATTGTATTACTTTTTGAACAAAATTTATTACCCGAATTACTGACACTGTTTGTTTGTAAAGTTTAAACGTATTTATTTAGAGCATGGTTACACTACTTTGTTTTTTTCTCACCACCCTGCTATCTACTTCTGGGGTAAGAAGTATAAAAAAATGCATTGAATGTCAATCTTTTCCATTTTAGTGTAGCAAAATTATCCATAAACATGCAATTCCCTACGATATGGTAGATGAAGTAAGAGAGCAACTAGCAGTTCTCAATTCTACTGTCCAAGGAACAATTTTCGCAGGACTTAATTCTATAAATGGTCTGCTGATCTCAACACAAACTGCAGTCCAACAGGAATATGATATCTTTAGCTCAGAAATAACTACTCTTAAAGATTTGGCACAAATAGCAGGTCATAACGTTGATATGTGTCTAGAAACCAACCAATCTCTTCTGGATCAATTACCTCAAACCATTATGACTAGTTTGGCAGATTGCATGTCTCTTACGAACACAGAAGTTGCAATCATTATGAACGATGCGAAATATATACAAAATATACGAAATATACATGTATGAACGAAGTGCATTCAATTGATTTTCAGCTTGAATTATGTGCAGGAGATTTACTTTGTATATCTCCACTAATTACAGCAATTGCATATGCTATTGTAAGGATACTTCAAGATATTGGTGTTGAAATACAATAAGCCAAAGAACTTTGTCAAGCTGAAACTTTTGATAAAAGAATGTACGGATGCAAAATTTGCACAATTTAGCGTTGAAGGTGGTATAATTGTATCTGAAATAACGAATTGCATTAATAACATACTTTCCTAAGATTTTACTGTTACTGATGTCAAAATTAAGTATTTGTAAAATATTTTTCTACCTAAATGTCCAGTACATAAAAATACAAATCCATTCCACAGGTATCAAAAACCATAGACTGCCTCTCGTTTTGTTTTCTATAAAATACTACATTTCTGCTTTTGGGAAAACAGAAGAATCAGAAGTAAGTAATATTCATAATGAACATACTTGATTCGACTATCGAAAAGTCCCGTTAGTTAACCTGTTCAAAACCAGTTATTTCAAGATATTATTGCTAGGTCATTAGATTGTCATCCTTTACAGATGAAGAACTCATACCTAATCATTTCAATTATCAAATTGACCTATTTATCAATATAAACATTGCTCATAATATTCCATGATAAACTAATACTGAAGGACATTTCAGATTTTCTCAAATTATTAATGTTTTAATCTTAATCTCATTTCTGATGATTGGTGCTATAATAAACAAAGAGATAAAGTTAGATTTAATCATACAAATAATTTTCGAAAAAAATGTATGAAATTTGTAGTGTGAAGGTAAAATAAATAAAACAAACGACTACGATAAAAGTAATCTGTTTGGAATTATTGTCGAATTTCCGGTAATTAAACATAACGTGAACTTGCTCCACAAATGCAGATAATTAAAATCCCAAGCTGATCTTATTCACATATTTTCAAAAACACAAGGATCTAGGGAATTGTTTTTCAAATAGAAAATAACTGTCGAAAATTATTTACCAACGTTTAAATACGAAAGAGATATAGGTTCAGAAAAATGGTGCCCGGATGATTTTTTGTATTAATATTCTATGTGCTTAAAAAAATTAAAATTATCACCAACTGTTCCATATATTACTATTATTTTATATTTCCGTCTTTATTATGATTTTAATTAAATTTTATAATTTATATACATCGTTTTTTAAGAGTACTGTGCTGATCAACGTACAAAATATGGAAGCGAAATCATTATTTACTTTTTCTACATTTGATATCATCTATTTTGTCACAAATGTATAATTCAAAAGTCTCATTATTAAAAGGTCAAGTCAAGTCAGGTCAGGTCAGGTCAGGTCAGGTCAGGTCAGGTCAGGTCAGGTCAGGTCAGGTCAGATCAGGTCAGGTCAGGTCAGGTCAGGTCAGGTCAGGTCAGGTCAGGTCAGGTCAGGTCAGGTCAGGTCAGGTCAGGTCAGGTCAGGTCAGGTCAGGTCAGGTCAGGTCAGGTCAGGTCAGGTTCGCTTTGTTCGCTGGTTACTTATTTTATTCATCTCCTTATTCATATCCATTTTGTTCTTGGTCTGTCCTTCTTCTATTTACCTTACTATTGTTTCTTAGTTAATATCAAAATATTTCAGTAATTCTAATGAAGCTATTTTTAATATCAGTATTTAAGAATTCATTTAGATGTATCTAAGTATTTAAACATTAATCCACAACTTATTATGGCTAAGATTTGCTAGGTCTATTTATGACTTGATTTAAATGTGTCCAATCATCAAATCTTGTACCTTTTAACTCTAGGAAATGACCAATAAGGATAAAAATACAATTTATTTGGAAATGGTGAATGGTACCCTACAAACAAAAACTATTTAACAGTTATATATTACAACATAATACTGTTACTATGATCGGTGATTAAAAATCGGCGTGGATAAAACGCAACAACACATTTACACGACACAACATTATGTACAAAATAATTCTGACGCAATTTGAATGGATCTTTTACTAAATGAATCGTTGCCGAAGGTGGCCTCTATTTAAACCCCTACTTCCTTTCTAGATATTCCACAATCGAGGTTTTTCTGGAGTACCCATCGCGACTTGCGCCTCCAGGCTTTTCTTTAGCGAACGCCGCCCGGCCGCCGTCCCCGACGATGAGTCACCCATCGTCGCCGTGATACTAGAAAGCCCTCGAGAAAACCCATAGGCGTCGTACTATAGCCATAACACTCCAGTCTTACCGATTTTTTTAAAAAAAGGAAAGCAAGAAGATTCTACTTTTATCGTCACGAGAAAATATATCGAGGTGGTTTATTTTCAACTAGAAATCGTTTTTGGTCCTCTAGCAATTCGTCTGCAACATTTTTTCAAAATATGACCAATTTGCGTCTGCAATAATACTGAACTTCGCAGGACATTTTTTATGTTCAAGTGATTTATAATAACTCCAACCGTAAACATGCAAACATGGCCATTAAAATGTTATGGCCATTGGCACAATTTCAAGTTTTGTGACCAACCAAGTACAAAAACCAGGCAACCGTCGCTATAAAAACAATTACGTACCACTTTTATGGTGTTACATTTGCACAATTTATGATGGTATAACTCATCCGGGTATTTTCAAGTTTTGACGGTCAGCACGAACATATAAATAAATGTTGCAAAGTATGTCTAGGTACTCAGTACTCATTGAAGATGACAGCGAAAAGTAAAGCCGATATGCACGTCAGGGATGAAGAGGTAATCTACCCACAAAAATTAAGTCCTCTTTGTCATTTTTAGCTAGATTTTAGTACAACCTATTTTACACACTCTCCAAGCTGGATCAGAAAATCACAACATTGCGAAACAATGCGTGGGAGTTTTTAATTATTGGGTTAAGTGTCCCAAAGACATACGAAAAAAATATATCGAAATTGGAAATGAGTTCCACAATATTTTTGTTGCGTAAGCTTAGAATTTATTTATAAATCCATTATCATTTTTCCGTTGGTGTTTCCACAGACAAGACGATATGATAGACAAAACGATACTTCGTAAAGGAATTCCTTCAGCTCATTTGGTTTATGGGATTCCATTAACTGTGCAAGGTACAATATACAAGGGGACGTCCTTATTTCAAAATATACTCTGTCAGACAGACCACAGTAAGGTATTGTTGCTATTCGTCCTGATAAAACTGAACTTGTATTTTTGTTTGTCTTGTTTGAGAACGTGTTTATTTAGGAAATCGCTCTTGATGATTTCATTAAGTTTGGTATTGATTTTTTCACTGGACAGTCAATGGAATTATATTTTATAAACACCGGAAAATGTCCTACATTTGAGGATTACAGAGTAATGATGTACAAAAGTAAGTTCAAAATATTTCTGGTTGGGCAAACACTTCGACAATGTAAGCAAAGTAGTACTAGTAATTGTATAAAGTATAATCTATAATTTCCCGAAAATAATTACTAATATCATTAATTATTAGTGTATGGTTAATTTCCCGTTTTAGAATCTACCAGTCCCCTCATATGGTCAGTCCGGTTGCTAAAACTGTTTGCTAAGAACGTGGAAATTAACTTTAGTACAGATTTTTGCGATAAAATGGGTCAGTTTCTTCAAATATATGATGACTACCTAAATTTGCACAATCCTAAGGTAAATCAACAATAGTCTACGATTTGTTGGAAAACACTCGCTTGTAAACCTAAAACCCTATATATTTATACACTTTTAGATCCCTTACTGAAAACGTTTTTATTTAAAAACAGGTCATAATTAAAAATTTGCAAAAATATATACGGTGTTTCCTTGATGATATTGGAAAATAATTTTAGACTGTAACTCTCAACCGTATAAGTGTATACCTATAATATTTTTTTAGTACGCCGCTCTTCGTGCCTTCTGTGACGATCTAGACGAAGGAAAATGCAACTACCCCATAATTCATGGCATTCAAAGTTATCCAGATGACCATCGCCTTCTAGGTATCCTTCATAAAAAATATTTCCTCACCTTTTATTTTCTTAATTTTGCATCTTAGATATGTTAAAAAGAAGACCACTGGATATAGAAAGTAAAAAAGTCTTTGTAAATATACTGGAGAGTTTTGGAAGCTTCGAGTATACACGGAAAGTACTCGAAGATTTGAAAGATGAAATTCTCGCCGACGCAGAAAAAATGAATATGGGAAAAAATCCATATTTGGAACGAATTCTTCAAAATTTATTTGATAATTTCGAAACGGAGACTTATTACGATCGTTGTGACTAAAGCATACACAGCGGTGATACTTTACACTATTATCAAGAATTTTAAACTTTCGGTAATAACTCTCTTTAAATAAAATTTATTACCCACAAGTTTGTTTTGTTCTACAAAGTTTAACTTAACTCCACCATAGTCAAACAATTTTTCTTTTGTTCTCCCGGTAAAACTAAATTCAAATCGACGTTATTTTCAATACGATGAATTAAAAACTGTACAGATCGCAACAAAAGTAATTTGGTAATCATAATAAAAAAGTAACGACAGAAAAATTTCGCCAAGTAGATAACTCGAATATTGACGAGTCCTTACAATTCAGCGAACCTATTAAGCTAATAGTCTCAAGATATTTTCCATAGCTTGTTAGACCGTCTTGCTTTTGCAAGTAGAGAACTCTGAATGATTTCACAGAAATGCTAATTTATCGAGTTCATCCATTGATGAACATAAAATTAGCCAATTTGCTTTCTACAAGTGAAGTAGAAGAGGTTTTACATTAATTCGGAAGTCGTATTGAGTGTTATTTTTACAGGATAACAAACAAGACTTGATTAGAATTGTAAAAAATAACTAACTACAAATTACATTCAGATTACGCCAGCAAATTTATTAAACTGAACAAAGTTTCAAGTTGTTTCAAAGTATAAATAACTGTAATTTTAATTCCACCACTGTAGTTAACATTGTACAAAGTGGATCTGATCACATAAACAGCTTTTGAAAATATTTATGAAATCTTTTCCATAAACAAAATAGACAACACCAATAAAAGTGATCTTTTTCGGATTATTGACGAATTACTGATAAATAATTAAACATCCTGTAGCCTTACTCCATAAACTAAATAATCAAAATTCCAGTTTTATCTCAAAATATAAAGATTTAGAGATTGCTATTTAAATTAAAAAAACTTTGTTCTCAAGTAAGTTACGTCTACTCATGCGATGTCACGTACGCTGAAGAGTAGTTAGTCATCCCTCAAGTTATACGACATTCTCTAAAGACGTTGATTTTTCAGTCTACAAGGGAGAAAATTAATAGCGCTTACAGGTAAACTCTAATATTATCTAGACAAAAAAAAGAAAAACTAAGTATGTTAGAAAAAAGAAGTGAGCAAATTCCATTAATGTGGTGTCAATTTGCATGTCTCGCCATTTTATTATGCGACACAATAAAAGACCTCCATTTTGATTACGTCACAAGCAATGATTGGCACATTTTTGCAAGTTGAGTTATTACACGTTGTTTAAATTATTAAGCACATCGTTACAGCTTTTATTGGTTACTTTCACGGACGTCATAAGCCATAAGTTGTCTTATAGATAAATTATACAAGACAGTTTTACAACTTGTATGTACTTAAGTTCATGATGTCAGCGTTAACATTATTTGACCTAAAATTTTTACAATCTGTATTGCAATCCACAGGGATTTATACATGGTCAGTTGCTTTATTTGTTTTACATAGTTTATTATATGGAATAATTTATCAGGACGGAAACGAAAGATCTATTTTTCCATGCTGTAGAGGTCATGAAACGTCGAGAAAACATGAAAGTAATACGAAGTAAAGATGAAGTTCATTTGCTTATTGGTTAACATATTAACTGGTTAACTTAAGTTGTGTGATAACGTAATCTGAGTGACAAAAAAAATAAAGCAACATTTCATGACAAATTTAAAATTTTTCAAAATTTGGCCAACAATGTAAGAGACCACACAATTTTAACTAATTAATAACTCCACAGATTGTTTTACTTGATGTTTATTTTTACACTAGATATCAAAATGAACATCTATTTGTAAGCACTAAAATTTATTAAAATTTTTAAGTAACGTGATGGAAACAATGTTCGATTTTCGATAAGATATATCTTTTGAAGAAATACTTCAATAAACATTTTTTCCTTATCGAATATGTATATTCTAGAGTTAACTTTAAGTTAGTATATTCTAGAATTAACTGGAAATTATTTGATAATTACAATCGTTTTTGCAAAGCGAAGAAATACACCAACTTTATTTAGGCAAAAATTAATATTTGTACTGTTCTTAATTAGAAGTGTAATTAAATGTGTCTTTTATATTAAATTTATTAAAAACAAATCACCCAGGAAAGCGCCATTAATATATTAAAAACATAATTTTTTATCTCCCGAGCGTATTCTATGGAAGTATTGCAAACGAGTCCATCGAGCTACTTCCATGTTCTCTCGCCGTTTCTTGACCCCAAAAGTACGAAAAATTTGTGACCCGTTTCCGTATGTCTGTCTGTCATCTGCGTCAATGTTTATTAAATAGATAATCTCCGAAACTACCGAACCGATTGTTGTTAAATTTTATATTTATCCAAATTGTATGAGCACCTCTTATACTAGCATAAGTGGCACCCGTAGTAATAAGGAAACTACCGCAGACACTAAACCTGAAGCTTCCACGCGCTTGTTTTTCTATCTTAAACTGTGAATCTTATTGTTTATATAATTGTATTGATCAAATCAAGAACGATTCACCTTATTTTTTTGAAAATTTGAGAATACTGTAATGTTGCCCCCGCGTATATTTAGTAGTAATACAATAACATTTATTTTAGTATATTGTAACTTAATTAATACTCCTAATTTTAATCGCATCCTCTGTTTAGAAAAGGTCAAAATGACTTGCCAAATTTTCTATATTGGGCAACGCAAACGTCAATTACATGTAAGCCCCATCTCATCCTTAATAAAAAGATAACAACAGTAGTTGTAGGATTTTAGTCACTAACTGATTACTCTCAACTAAGTGATAATAAAACCAATAAATCTACAAATTTTTGAATCGAGTGTTATTCGTCACAAGCACACTAAAACTTGAATTTTGACGATGTACCTACGATTTTTGTTTTTTGTGGCTACTGTGCTAGCCACTTTGGTAAAACTTTAGTAGTAAGAAGTTTATAACTACAGTTTTCAAATTTTAGGCCCACGCAAATCCGAAACAAGCAATAGACCCGTACGATTTAGAAGACCAAATCAGAGAACAGCTTGAAAATCTGCGATCGACTGTTAGAGGAGCAATTTTTGCATCATTTAATTCCATTGATACTATAGTCAGAGACGTATACTATTTTCGAAATGACGCTATGAGTGCTGCGGAGATAGCAATTCAACAAGAATATCAGGCTTTTACCACGCAGGTTACTACACTTAAAGACTTAGCGCAATCAGCTGGTTACAATGTTGACATCTGCTTGCAAATCAATGAACCTCTCTTAGATCAGTTGCCTCAAGAGATTATCGACACATTGATGGAATGTTTAGCCTTCGCAAACCTCGAAGTCACGATCATTCAAAATGATTCCAGATACAGAATTGACATATTAATGAATGAAGTAAATGTATTTGATTTTCAGCTTGATTTGTGTGCGGGAGATTTTCTGTGTATGTCACCACTAGTTGAAGCTATTGAGTTAGCGTTGGTTAATATACCTCAGAAAATTGGACTTATCGTACAAGAAGCTGGAGATCTTGCAGAAGATTTGAAAGTGCTGATAAAAGAGTGCACAGATGCTAAAGTTGCACAGTTTGTCACGGAAGGTGGTATAGTTGTGTCTGACATATCAGACTGCATTGATAACATAATGTCTTAAAATATTCTTGATTTATTTTGTATTGTTGTATTATCATTCATAAAAAAATAAAAAAGTGTTTAAATTTATTACAAAATTCCGTGTACTAAGCTTGTTATAGATAATAAATAAGACATTGTAAACATAAATCAAAATTATCTGAAACACAAATTGCATTGTCCCCTTATCCCAGAATGCAGTAGATCATCAAAATGTTATTATTTTCTTTATTGTAATATTAAAAACCAATAGTACAAATACTTTAATTAAGATGGCAATATTTTATACCGGTAACACCCGCTTTTCGCAAAATTACTATCTTAAACAAACTAATAAATAACATTAAATACTCGCGTCACATATGTTTTATTGTTATTACTTTATGATACTACACCTGGAGATAAAAACTTTCAAATTTATTGCTAACTTTTGATTCAAACATTTTGTTGAATTAAGTCCTCATTTCCATCATGAAGCTACTGTTTTTATTTATCATATCAAGCGTAACTTTTACCACGGTAAGAAGTTATTTTTACTTTACATAAACCATCGCGACTTCATTAAAATTAAATATATAAATTCTAGGCTAACAAATATGATGTTGAAGCAGAAATAACAGAAAAATTAGAAGATCTTAAGTCAACAGTTCAAGGCACAATTTCTGTGGCATTTATCACCAATTTAGTTAAAGATTTCACCAGCTATCGTACCAGTATGATCTACTCATCAGCGTCAGCACTAGGACAACAATCTCAAACTTTCAGAAATCGTATTAACAACCTTAAAATGTCTGCACAATACGCCGGTAAAAACATTGACGTATGTTTGTCAACCAATGAACCCCTTCTAAACAAACTAGCAAATGACGCATCTACACAACTGAATGAATGTGTCATTGTTGCAGACAGTGAAATGGCCATTATTGAAAAGGACACGAATTATAGAGTTGACACGTTAATGAATGAAGTTCACAAGTTAGAATTTCAGCTTGATATATGCGCAAACGATCTTTTGTGTCAGGCATCTGTGACTACAGATATTGAAACATCTATGTTGAGCATACCCCAAAAAATAGGAGTAGAAGTGGACCAAGCAGTAATATTAAGCGACGAGTTGAAAGTGCAGATAAAACCTTGTATGGACCCCAAAGTTGCACAATATAGTTTGGAAGCCGGTGCAGTTGCAAGTGAAATAACCCGTTGTGTTAACAATATACTATCGTCTTAAAAATATATCTAGTTTGGCATGTAAAATTTATTATCAATCTGATAAACTTAAGACATACTTGTTCTAATAGCATCCAAAATACGTATGTGTTGTTGTTTGGTCGAACATACAACGTCTCAAAATGATGACTTCAGTTATTTACATAACAAAAGACTGTGATCACTATCATATCACCACTTTACAATAAAAGATAACCGAAAATTTCGTGGATACAACAATTTTTCGGTTGGGAAGTTTTGACTATTGTCAAAAGAAAAATGGCGCTATGTACTGTCGTCTATGGACGTAGTTGGGAAGCCATCTTGACGCGATTTGCTGAACAAAGTGCTTGTTCTCAGCCAGTATAAGCTGTTTATCCGTTTCACTTTATTGACACCAGTAGAAGATAATAGCACCGATAAAGTTTATTATTATTACATACTTCTATAGACAAAATCTACCCTTTACCGAACCCAGTGTGTACGCAATGCGTGTCTTATTTTTAGTTTTCGTAACTATTGTAGTAAGTGGTCTGAATTTTTTTTGAACAGCTAAAATATTTTTTTCTATTCTAGACTGCTAAGGTTACAAATCCTCAAAGACAGCTTTACGACCTGGAAGATGAAATCAGAGAAAAACTAGAAAACCTTAGATCAACCGTTAGAGGCTCAATTTCTGCAGCAATAAGTTCAGTTGACAACATGATGAGACAATTGTTCAGTTTTCGAAATTATGCAATGTTAAGCGCCACAAGTGCAGCTAGAGAACTGTTCCAGACGTTTAATAATCAAATCACTACTCTTAAAGATTTAGCCCATGCAGCTAACCAAAACATTGATGTCTGCTTAGAAAACAATGAACCCCTTTTGACCGACTTATATGAAGACGTCGTTAATATATTGTGGGAGTGTCTGACATTCGCAGATAGAGAAATGTCAATTATTCAAAAAGAAGCTAATTACAAAATAGACACACTTATGAGTGAAGTGAACATGTTTGACTTTCAGGTTGACTTATGTGCAGGAGATTTTTTGTGTATGTCTTCGCTCATTACAGAAATTGAGCTAGCGATGATAAAAATACCACAAAAAATTGGACTCGAAGTCGAACAAGTTAATGAACTTTTCAACGAGTTGAAAGTATTGATACAAGAGTGTATGGATTCTAAATTAGCACATATTACTACAGAAGGCGGTGCAATTGTTACTAAAATTACCGATTGCGTTAATAACATATTAATTGTTTAAAATGTCACGTTCAAGATCTAGTTTTAAAACTCGATAAACTTAGATACAATATATCTGATAAAATACCAATTGTATTCAAATAACTTTATTTATTTTAGATAACCAAATTTACTAAATAATATCATTTACACAGTCAGTGATTTCATCCATAATCTGACTTCCCTCAAGCACAAAATTCGCAAGGTTCGTATCAGCGCAGTTTTGTATCTTAACTTTTACAATGTCCATTTCATCTTCTGCACCGTCCACATACACCTGAATCTGCAGAGGCAAATCTTCAGTAGCAGCTTTAATCTGATCGATCACACCAGAAATGCACTCTTCGTCTCGTCTACATTGATCCAAAGCAAAACTCAAACTGCGAACACTGCTGTAAACAACGTCCACTTGATATCGAGTATCGTTGAGTGTTGTGTCACTTCCTTGTTGCAGAGTAGTGATGCATTCACTCATACTACTTGTGTAACTGTCGGGAAGAGCAGCTAGTTTGTCTTCGTTTCCTTCCAGGCACGACGAGATGTCTGCTTCTGCGGCGAAAGCTAGCTCTTTCAAGTTAGTTAATTCTAAATCTAGTACTTGATGTTCCTGCTCGATGTCTATTTCGGCTTGTAGGCGTACATTGATACTCTCAGCAACTACTTCATAACGCAAGTTGTTTAGTTGATCATGTGCTACTAAAATGTTGCCTTCGACGAGGTCGCTGAGATCATCGAGCAGGGCTTGAGCATCGTCTAACAAATCACTAGGAGCTAAGTGATGTTCGGTTCGAATGATTTTGGCTTCTGTGAAGTTGTTCTAAAATTTGTAATTATTACGTATATTCCAGGAAATATGTTTGGTACGTACCAGAGTTAGGAAAAAGCCAAAGAGCAACAGAGAAACTATTTTCACCGACATATTTGATCAAGAGAGACTATATTCTGGTTGAAAATCGATTTTTTCATTCTATAGATAACAGTTTTAAGAGGAATGGAAATGAAGATTGTATCGAACAATGGAGGCGAACGAGGAGAACATACTTTTGATAAGTAGTAAGAGAGTGGAGTTGAATTTCAACTGGTAACAAAAATCTAGACTATACTATCTCTATTTGTATATTTCCATATAAATCGAGTGATTTATATCATATTATCAATATAATTTTTGGTGACAATACTTGGGCCAACAATCGAATTGGATCTAAGACTGATGCTAGCCTAAAGCCAAGGATAAATGAAGATTGAGACAAATAAGTAACATCCACACAGTTTTTTTAAACTCTAAACAAATTGCAACTTAAAATTCATAATTAACATTAATTACCTTCTTGTTGCAAATCTCCAGAAAAGTGTGACCAATATTCATATTCGCAAAATTTATAGATACCAAAACAAAAATACTTTATAAAATTTATTATATAGTAACAGAAACGCTTAAAAATCTAAAACTACATCGCTAGTATGTACAACAATTGCCATATTTATAGACTATCCAAACATTGCTGAAGTACAGTAAGAGCTATATTCCCGTCAGTTACAAACTGGGAGATACTAGTGCTTGTACAACCATCAACTTGATTTGTCGTTGTTTCAATAAGCGGGATCGTATTGTGCACTGCAGAGTCAATTATTTGTGGTAGTTCTATTTTATGTGCATCAATCTGTCGAACTACAGGGGAAACACATAATATACTTCCTGTGCTACTACATGCCTGAAGCTGAGCTTCGTCCTCGGCAACTTTGCTATTTGTAGCATCTATGTCTCTTATACCATCATTATAAACTTGATTCACCTGTTGGTTAACACCAACAACACAAGATTGCAAACCACTAAGTGCATCGTACAAAATTTGGTCGATTTGTGGTTGATAAAGTCTAAGGCATGGACCCGGACTTTGACCAACACTCAGCACCAAATTTACCATATCTTGAACATAACCATCGATCTTAGTGGCTTCGCTTTGAATTTGAACCTTTGCCTTCTCTGATTCATCATCGCCATAGTTTATACTGGCTTGCCTCGCGTCGTCTAGCTGTGTATGTCCTGCCAGAATTGCAGCTTTGACAGTTTGTTTTAGTTCGCCAAGTTTCACTAGAGCATCGTCGTACAAAGAGAATGGGGCAATGGAAGCCGCTCTGGGTTTAATTTTGACTACATTTGCGTCGCTAAACTAAAAGAAATAAGCATTTGTTTCAAGTTTAACTTATAATTTATTTCTTACTTGTGTAGCCAACACAGAGGCAACGACGATGTAAATAACGCTTCGGAACATTTTGGGCTAAATGCTGTCTATGACACAGTTAGAGTAAGTTCGTCTTTTATATAAAGCTTAATCTTAAAATTTTTAATTTAAAAAAATAAAAATCAGAACAATAGTTATTCTAGATAAGGGAATAAAAATCTAGATTACAGAATTGCATTACTATCAAAAACTACACTTCGGGACAACTGAAATGACGCAATCGTAAGACTTGAGATACACGACTTAAAAAATGTTAGACAAAAAATTTGTTACGAAAGAATAGGGAGATTAAATTTCAAAAAAGTTAGATGGTGATTGTGAGTGCATTTTGAATGTTTTTATTAGAGTAGTACTGTTTGGATATCTATCTGAAATTTTTTGTAGTTTTTATAACACCATTTCCCATTTTGTATTTTTCTTTAAGTTCTGCCTTTGACATGTTCTCCGAGTTTCTGTATCTGTGTACAAAATAAAATTATTTGTATGATATCGATATCATCAATATAGTTTGTGATCATAATACCTGACATGCCAATCGAATTGAATCGTAGATTGATCACACAAATTCCATATTGACATCATGACAAGGACTTTGCCTTACACTGAAGACTCGACAAGAAAATAATTTTTTCAATAAATTTTATTCCAATTTTGAAAATGGAAATTTTGAAGAAGAATGATGTCTATTATACCCAACAGACCAAGGTTTACGAGGATAACATTATAAATTCATCCATAATGGAAGAAAAATGTAAGATGATCTACTCATCTAATAACAAATATAATTTACTCTTGAAGAGCTACAACTAGACATCTAGAAAAAATGTACTTACTACCAGCATTATTGGGCAGTTGAACATCATTAAGATATAGCAAGAATAAAGTTGGTCCAAGATTGGCCCCTGCGTAACTGCACTAGGAGTAGCGTACATCTCAGAACAATAATCCCTAGCTCGACAAACTGTGCTCGATCAGATAAAATGGAAGAAAACAACTGATCCAAATTATCACAACAAAAGATCGTAATTTATGCAGTAAAATGTGATAATTAACAATATCTTGGAAAGATCAGCATCATATCCACCCGTACTTTGGATTCAAACCATTGGAGATGTACTAAACGAAATCCCATATACTAGTAGCGGTTGATTTATGTTGAACAAAACCATACTGACTAAGACTTAATGAACTAGATATGTGAATATACGAAATTGTTGGACAGTATTGATTCAATACAATTTAGCGAAGTTAGAGATTATATTAGATTTACATTTTTCTAGAATGTGATTTGTGATTTGGAATAACTTTTGATACGTTTCACTTATTATGGAAAACAATACAATCTTTCACTAAAACTGATGGAATATGTTGTTAGAACCCACTGTGACATTTTTTGCTGCTTTGAATTTATCGTCATTTATGTAGGGTAAGCATGTCACAGATGGTACCACCTATTTTTAAATTATCACAAACATTATCACTTAGGTTTATATTATCACAGTCACTATCATTAACGAAAACAGAACTAAATAATTATACAAAGCTGTCAATAATTTCTTGGGGCGAGGTCAATTCCTTCTCTCTCAGGGATATAATCCCAGGCATGTTTGTAAAATTTTTCTTTAAATTAACATATGTCCTAAACACATTGGATTTGTTTCATTATCAACTCCAACTCTATTGATGGAATTTTTATCGGCTTTAGTCACCTCTATTTCTATTCAGAATCTCAATGAATTAACTCCAGCCATGGAAAAAGTATGATAGATATCAGAGTTAGAAAACTGCAAAAAGGCAACAGAGAACTATTTATATGAGGTTTTAAAACTCCAGAAAAAATAAACTTCTTATCGTGTATAATGAGTTTCTTTAATCAGAAAACTTATAGATTCAAAAATAGAAATATTTTCAAAATTTATTATTAACTAATACGAAAGTTTGAAACTTCAATAAAACTACATATCAAATACGTACATTTGCCATATTACATATTACTGAAACAAGCTTGAAGCTCACCAAGTGCTACATCTCTGTCACTTTCGAAATTTATAATGCTGGAACTCGTACAACCATCTACTTTTTTTGTCATAGTTTTAATAAGTGAGGTGGTTTTGTGCACTACTGACCCAACTCTGTGTTAACACCAGTAATACAAGATGCCAAACCATTAAGTACATTGTTCAAAATTTTCTTAATCCACGGTTGATAATAATCCAGGCAGGGAGCCGGATCTTGACCAACACTCTCCACCAAATTTACCATATCTTGTACATAACCATCGATTTTAGTGGCTTCATCTTGAATTTCGACTTGTGCCTTATCTGATTCTTCCTCAGCATACTCCGTACTGCCTTTTCTAGCGTCGTCTAGTTCTTTGTCTGCTGTTTGAATTGCATCGCTGACAATTTGCTTTAGTCGTACAAAGAAATTGGAGCAATGTATATCGCTAAATTAAACTAAAAGCAGTGTCAGTACTGTCACCCTAATTTTGTAAATAATGAAATTACATCATCAAGTTTAAATCATGTCGTTAATATTATAACCTGTTATGAGAATTCTTGAGACGGAAAACGACTTGGATCTTGCATTGTTCATTCTACAAGTGTGTTTACACTACATGATTTGTCATATGATTTCTCATATGAGTTCTCGTACACTAGCTTTTTTCATATTTACACTGTATGATTTCGCATATTACCTCTGACATTACGTAAGTCACAAAAGCAGTCATAAGCAAATCATAGCTGATGTCAAGAATAGGACGGCCTCTATTTTGAAGAGATTTTGTGTATTGTTTTGTTTGAATTTCGAGCGACTATAACTATAACACACCGACCTGATACTGATACTGGAACAAGTAAAACCTCCAAAGCATTCCAGAGCCCAATGTGCTTTGCTTCCTTAAATTTTTAAGTTAGGTTTTCTAAAATTTGATAATTTCAGTTCACTCGTTCATTTTCACTTAACGATAAATTATCTGCGAGAAATCATAGGAGTTTAAACCGAAAATCTGTTAACGGTATGATACCTTGAAATCATAGGACTTTCCATACAATTTATCTAAGTCAAAAGAAATCCAAGTAACATCCTGTGTTCCCCAAGAGAGTCACTTTGGTCCAATCTTATTCCTCTTATTTATAAATGATATTGTTTCAAATATTCAAAATGTTTATTATTTGCAGATGATTTAAAACTGTTTTTAGAAATAACGAACAATAATGATATTAATAATTTTCAAAAAGACATTGATTCATTAAATAATTGGTGTAAGGATAACGACATGTCATTAAATATAAATAAGTGTAAAATTATATCTTTCGCATGGATAATCCCCTTGAATATCAGTATTATATTGGTAACATCAGTCTTCAAAGAGTTGCAATCATTTCGGACCTAGGCATTATTTTGGATATAATTTTCATATAGATGGTATTATAAAAATAGCGTATAGATTAACTGGATTTATAAAGACAGGATAAACATTTCAATAATGTAATGGTAATCATCAAATTATTTCATTCGTTAGGTCTATTCTTGAATACATACGGCTGTGTCATTTGGAATCCATATTACAGAAATGGGGTTGAACTAATTGATAAGATACAAAGAAAGTTGATTAATTTCATTTTATTTAAACTTAAAATAGACAAAAATAAATATTTTATGAGGATCGCTTTCATTTGCTACGATTGGAAACACTTGAATTTCGTAGGAATAAATTTATGTTAATTTACGTTTATAAAATTTTGCATAATCAATTTGATTGTCCAATTTTAATTTTTTTTTTAACTTTCGAGTTCCTAATTATGGTACTAGGGGTAATGATTTATTTTCTATTGATCTTCAAAGAACTAATCATTAGAGAGAATTGCAAGACTAATTAATGAGCTACCTTCATCTATCGATATATTTAATTGTAATTTGAATCTCTTTAGAAAAATCGTATCCTTTAATCATATTTATTGAGTTTTATTATTTCTGTTTGTTTTAAGGTACAATCTGCATTGTTCAAATTAGATTATTTTTTATTAACTACGTCTCATTAGCTTTAGGTATAAATTACTTTGTAAATTGCCTATTTTGATTTTTCTGTTGGCAATTAAGTAACAATAAACAACAAAAAATCATATGACAAATCATGTACCTAATGTAACCACACTTTTATACCGTAGACATAAATCCCAAACTATTATCATTTACGTGACAAAAAGTTTGGCTAAGAGATGAGAATTAACAAGACTTTTTTTAATTAATTTTAAAAATAAGCACTTTCAATATTGAAGAGAAATTTCTCGCTAGACGAAATTAGCCTAAGACGAAGAAACAATAAATAATTAATTAAAAATTCTTCTTCGCTTTGCCATTTCGTCAAACGATAAGACTCAGCCGACATAACAGCCAATATTCGAAATTCTAAATAAATTTTCGTTTTTATCATTACTTTGCAAGATGTGTAAATAAATTTTTAAGGTGATTATCAATATTAAGAATAACAAAAAGGTATTATTTTGCACTTACGGTTTCAAGACTAGATTGAAAAACATAAATATTTTCAAATTTTTTTATTTACTTATATGGTTTAAAACTACATAGCATAGGATCCTGTACATCCGTCATATTACATTTTATTAAAACAATCTTGAGCTGCACTAAGAGCGTTATTTCCCTCAGTTTCGAATTTAGTGACGCTGGAACTTGTACAACCATCAACTTTATTTGTTACAGTTTCAATAAGTGCGGTGGTTTTGTGCACCACTGTTTCAATTGTTTCTCGTAGTTCTATTTTGTCTGCATCAATCTGTCGGACTACCGGGGAAACACATATGACACTTCCTGTGCTTTTACATTGGACAAGCTGATCTTCGTCCTGGGCTACTTTGTCGTAAGTAGAATTTATATCATTCCTACCATCGTTATAAACTTGAGCTACCTCTGAATTAACAGTACCAATACAGGTTGTCAAACTATCAGTTGCATTATTCAATATTTGCTCGATGTTCGGTTGATAGATTCCGAGACATCGACTCGGATCTTGACCAACGCTCTCGACCAAATTTGCCATATCTTGCACATAACCGTCGATCTTAGTGGCTTCATCATGAATTTCGACCTGTGCCTTATCTGATTGTTGCTCAGCGTAGTTTGCGCTCTCTTTCTTGCCGTCATCTAGTTCTTTATCTCCTGTCTGGATTGCAGCGTTGACAATTTGTTTTAGTTCGGCAAGTTTGCCCAGAGCATCATCGTACAAAGAAGTTGGAACAATTTTTGTGGCTTTGGATTTAATTTTCAACGCATTTGCATCACTAAGCTGAAAGAAACAGACATTAAATATAATTTTAAATAATATTTTATTTCTTACATGTGCAGCCAACACAGAGGCAACAACGATGAAGATTACGTTTCGGAACATTTTGAGGTAACTGTTCTGACTGACTAACACATAAGAGTGAGCTCGTCTTTTATATAAATCTTAATCTATAATAATTGGGGCAAGTTCTAAAAAAACAAATACAAATGTGGGGCAAAGGATTGCATCATTATCAAAAACTGTAAGTACATCCACAACAACTTAAATGTGGCATTCGGAAGGCTTTAGATTATGGACTTAAAACATGTTAATGTATGGTTCTGTATAAATTGCGTCGATTAGCAAAACATTAGTTACGAAAGTGTAGTTACTTTTTAATGAGATTTTTAAATTAAATATGACTAAGACAAAATAGAGGAGATTAATTTAGAGAAAGTTAGCCTGGGTGCTACAAAAATGCTACGATTATTGAAGTACCCAAAAAATTATTAAATAAGCTGCATGAAAATATATAAGCTTTGACAATGCGAAGTGGTAAATAATTCCCGATAAACTAATAAAATTTAAATAGTAACAGTTTAAATTAACTAGGCATCTAGTAAACAATTTGCTTACTACCTAAAAAAATTAAATTTAAATCTGCCTTCAATCCGTATCTGGTTAAGTGGTGCGTAGTAAATACTATAGTAACTAATTTCACTAAAATAAAGTTATCCAGAATTGTATAAAATTAAAAATGTGTGCCTAAAAACTCTTCACGACATTATTTCGCCAACTAAACTAATCCTAGGTACATAATACCCTGGTTAAATTAGTAGGTATAATGTACAATGTAAAATTAAAAGTAAAATTTCAACGTCAGTAACTTTGATTTTAGTAGATATTACTTGAAACTTAGCTAAACTGCAAACTGCAAATTTTTCTCAAGGCAATGGTCGATACAGTTCCAGACATCTGGTTGGATCTTGACCTGCAGTTTCAACTAAATTTATCATGTCTTCATGTCTTATATGCATCAATCTCTTTTATTACCTCCACTTTGAAATAGAACTTTACTTTGTTCTTGTTCATTATACTGTCCGTAATTTTTCTTCACTTCTTTTAAACGTACATGAGCTGTCAAGATTAAACAACTAGCAATTTGTTTCATTTCATAAACTTTAGTTAAAGTAATCGTGCAAAGCCTGTATTACAAAATACTTCTCTAGCGAGAGCAAATATTTACAAGCAAAGTGATACTAAATTTAGATTTATCATTAATTTTGTACAAAATTTAATCTTTTAGTATGAAGTACAAAAAAACAAAAACAATTAATTTTATAACATTTTAGACAAACAACATAAAAATTTAGAACAAGGTGCGTCAAACAACTTATATTTACATGAAGCAATAATTAAAAAACATCAGATGTATCGTTTTCCAAAAAGTCTTAGATTATCTATATTTTGCGTTTTGTTCGATATAGATAAATAAAACTTAAGGCGATTACCTCATTGTCATATTCAATGCACAACAACAATTGCGAAAGCAAAAGTATTAAAAATAGTATACTTCAGTTTAATTACACTACATTATAGAGAACAAAATCCAAAAAAAAAAAAGAAAAATATTGAGGACTGAATTTGAAACGTAAAAGTTAATATTATTAAAAACATATTCATCAAATAAGGATCCGCAAAGCTCTGCAAATCAGAGCCATTTGCATGATAACTTTATGCCGTGATTAATCGATACACTGGCTGTATTTGACGCCTATACCTTTATATCAGCTTTTGTGTCGATCTTATAAATAATTCATTTGGAATTTAGTGTGTGCCTCGACAACAGTGATTTATACGGAGCTTTTGAATTACTATACAAAAACTGTATAAGTTAATGCACCGTAACCTTCATAAATTCCTCGATAAATAACAGTGAACTTGCCGTCTGCCGTTTTCTGTTTATAAAGTTAAATATACAAAGTTCGAAAGTCGGTATTAGAAAATTCTTTCGCAAATAGAAGATTTAAAGAAGTCATTGTCTAAATTGAAGTTATTGAAGTTTGTCTGAATGCTCTCAACACAACAATAAAAGTGTCTTTAATGGGGACCGAAGATTGAGGTTTTCACTTTCCCGTCGTTTTCGCTTCATTTCACCTTTGAAAAGCACAATTTTTCAAGCTTTCGTTTCTCCTGTTTTACTTTCCAAAGATGAATTTTGTAAAATAATGAAATTTCTAATAAGTATCACCGTGGAAACATGTTTCTTGGTTAACACACATTACTGATCTGTTTTATTGTCCATGTGTTTATTCTTTACGCTGTAAAAAACAAAGGATACAATTATTCTTTTCAAAAGTAGTGCTTAAACAAAAAATCCAATACCAAAACACTACAGGATTAACTATGTTTACATTATGAGCGGAAGCTGGGATGACTTTGATAAATATAGAGGCTTATGTTTGTCGAGGTTTCAGAGCTTATAGAAAATGTAGGTCCCCGTTTCCGTCTGTCTATCTGTTGGCAATTTTATTAGATAGGTGTCCTCAGGAATTACTGGAATTATTACTTTAAGGTCCCGTTTTACTTTTTATATATGTATAAAGTTTATCCTAAAATAAATAGACTTAACACAAAACGATTTTTTTTTAATTTTCAATTAATCACCATGTAGATTCATCAACATTTCTTGCCTATACATTGTCAAAAATAACTATTTTGTGTAGAACTACGAACACAATAATTCTCCAAGCGACACTTTCACATTATCAGCAATGTAATTCAAGTAGATCATCTTCACTAAATTGCTTAATCCATGCCGTTGGCATAACTACCATCTAATATCTCATAAAACTTGTTAGCGTAACCTGGTGGCAAGCCCTTACCTTCCAAGCAACATCTTGCGCTGAGCTTTAATTAAAAGCTACGACAACATTTTCACATTTATTTACGGCAAGAATTGAAAACGCTTAACCACTGCTCCCTAAATATTCTGCAATTATTCATCCGGGTCGCGCCTCTGAATATTTTACGCCATCAGAATTCCTCTAAAAAATTTACGTATGAAATGGAATCCCGAAAAATGGAAATACCATCCAGAACGAACTTGATATTTCAGAATATGAAGACTCGATTTAATTTGAGAGGGTTTATAATTTCAATTAAGTCTGAAGTCGACTTCTCGTCGTTTCTAATTTATGTTATCTTTATTTTATGACAGTGCAGCATATCCGAGTTGGACGATTCGAAAACTGGAAATGTGACAAAGACGCTTGGGAAGAAATATTCGTAGAAAAATATTGTAATGAGGCCGACTCGAATGTAGTTTGAATTCCCTATCTCAAGGGAGTGCGCCAGATTGAAATTTAATCGGAAATTGGAAGATTGAAAAACTGACGGCGAAATGTATCTTCGGGCATGACAAGTCGTTATGGTTTTTATTTTAACCTACGTCAAGTATCGTTTTACGCATTGAAGCTGCAAGAATAAAGATTCGTGAAAAAACATACAAATAAAGCTGTTTTTATTTTGTAACTGAACAACAAATCCCTCGGAAATAAATTGAAAGAGAGGGAAATATTTTCACCAGAGTAGAAACCAGATATGCTAGGTTTCACTGAATTATGTAGTTGAGGAAATATATTCTGCAAAAGAAATAACACTCTGCTCAATGTTGAAATTTAAGAAATGACTCCTTTGACACCTAATTTTTTATTAAAATGACACCTAGTCAATATCTTAAAATTTTAAATCAAATAGATAGAAGTGGCAACACACTCTAAAAACGTTGTATATTATGAAAAGATTTTAAAATTAATGGTCTTCAAAAAATAAGTGAACATGTATAATTGTATACTTTAAGATTTATTCCAATACTTTCATCTCGTCAGCAATATACATTAATTTACAAAAAAAAGTTAATTACGCATACCTCCCCAATGCTTTTGATTCGAAGGCATTTTGTGTTACGCAAACACACTTGTTTACATTTGGTCTGGCGCGGAGTGCGAGAAAATCGGGTGAACGGTACAATTGCCTGAAAACTATCAATAATTTGAAAAAGCGCAAAGCTGGGTCTATTTCTAATGAGCTTTCCCATTGGAAAATGTCGGCTAAGACTTAAAAAAAAACATGTTCTCAGTAAACTTATTGTTGTAGCCTCAGTTAAGAAATGAACATCTTTATAACTAAATCCTCTGTGTCACTACACCAATTACACTCTTCAAGATAGTCACTTCACTATTACAATATTAGCATTACTACTAGTATTGATTTTCCAGGAATGTCCGAGAAGCTGAGAAAGCAGCATGATTTCCGTCCAACTAAATTTATTATCCCCAATCTCCTTATTGTATCTGACTCGACAATACAATTTGGTTGGTGTAAATCAGTGGACGTCATCCACCTGGATTTCTCTAAAACGTTTGAACGTGTGTCTATTAACGTCATTTTCTATTAAAACTTCAGCATGTAGGAACCGAGAGAAATCTTCTCAGGCCGATTGACAGACTGACGCTTTCCTCTCTAAACCGACGTTCAAAACTGTTTTATTTTTCAGTCAATTTGATTCTACATCCTGAAAACCGATCCTGATGTTCAATTTGAAAAACCCATATTATAAATCCGAGTCTACATTCGGATCCGATCCAGACCTGTGTGGTTTCGATCAGGTTTTAGATCTGTGGATATTTCCGGATTAAATAGCATTACATAATTGGTATACCAGAAAGAGAGTGTCAAAAACAAAATAACGACAAATATAAGAGAAGAAAACACGAAAGACAAACAATATTTAAAGTAGATCTCACATGTAGGTGCTATTTCAAAAAAAAAAATAAATAAATAAGGGGATTTTTAGTAAGTACAATAATAAAGCTGCTTCAAAAACAGAAGAGAAATGAAAGAATATCTTCTTCAATATTATTTATTATACGAGAAATTGACAATTGCGTTAACACCAACACGTATTAAAAATCATCTAAATCCTAAGAAATTTTAGAAGATTCTGCAGCATGTAGTAAAATTCAAACATGGCTTAAACTAAGAAAAATAATTTGTTATACAGGTGGAAAAATATGGGTTTTAAATGTGTTAGAGATACACAAGTCCAAACAAAGAGAATCATCACAACCATATTCGG